GACAAACTCTTTTGTAGTGATCCCAGGTCTTGGAATACCCGCCGACAGGAATAGAAACCCTTTTCACCTCTTTATTGTAGTATGGTAATGACTAAATATTACTATTATGAGGTGCTTGATCACGTCCAAAATGTCAGCCCATAACACTTGCTGCTCGCATCCTTCCTGTCTGCTTATCTACAGGACCAAGCTCTACGTCATCACTCTCTGCCTCGCCTCCAGTATCCGCGGAGGCATCCGGCATATCACTACTTCGATCCCACAGAACTCTTGAATTGCGTCACCTAAATCGGATCGGACGCATGTAGACCTAGGTTCGTATTCTATGAGGGAGAACGCAAATGCATGTCATGAAACGTTATTAATAGTGTACCGCTTGGAGGGTACACGTGGTCTGATATTCCGTCCATCTTTTTTTTTAGATTTTTTGTTTCTGAAGACTGGATATTTCATCCCTTGAAATATGATACACACCACAGACCTCATTTACCATCTTGATGGCGCTGCGCAGCGAGAGCATCGCGCGCGGCAAAGCGACGGCGTTTGTGCAGCTTCCTGAGCTGGATGGCCACTCGCGCAAAGTATACGCACTAGGCTTCAACTGCGATGGTTCTATGCTAGCCTCGGGCTCCAATGATCGCAGCATTCGTATCTGGGATCCCTTCACCGTACGTCGTCATCCTTCTGACCTGCTCTTTAACTAATTAGTGTGATCTTATGTCTAGGAACGGGAGCTGATGGAGCTGCGAGGCCACTCGGACTCAATCCTGTCGCTTGCATGGGACCCCACGACACCGAACCGCCTGGCTAGCACGGGCTCGGACAAGACAGTGCGCTTCTGGGACACCAGAACCGGCCGTATCGTGAACAGCGTCTCGCTACCCAGTGATTCCGCTAACATTGCCTATAACCACGATGCCAAGTACGTCGTGGTGGGTAGCCTGGACTGCATCACACTCATCGACACACGCAAGGCGCGCGTGGTGCGGCGTGTGGTGAACCCCTTTCAGTCGTACGAAATGCAGTTTAGCAAGACCGGCTACCTCTTCGTAGCGGCAGGCCATGCGGCCGGATTCGGTACCTTTGAAATTATGCGCGTAGTTGCGGAGAAGAAGGGAAACCCCAACCTGGAAAGTGCGCACAAGGTGAGATTCCACAAGCCAATGCAGGTAGAACGATTTCTTGCCCCTTGCTGACAGTGGCTCACGGTGTGAATAGGTTATGGCACATGCGGGAAGCTGTGTGTGTTTGGATTTGCACCCGTCAGGAAGGTAAGGAGCAGTGATAGCTTACGAGAGCTGGCAGTTGTTAATGTTGTCTTGTTATCCACTCAGGTTCCTTGCTTTGGGAGGTCTAGACTCGCTGGTGAGCATTTGGGACTTGGAAGAACTTTACTGCGTTAAAACGTTTGTGGTCACGACGTACGTTATTGCGTTAACCCTGGAGCGCTCGAAAGCGTCCACTGACGTCATGATATTTCGTTATTTACTCACAGATCTAGCATTAGATCCGTGCGCTTCAGCCACGATGGCAAATACATCGCAATCAGTATGGACGACCCCAACTTGATCGTTGTGGACGTAGAAAGCGGTGAGAAGGTGGTTAAGCTGCAGCTCCAGAACAACGTGCAGTATTTAAGCTGGCACCCAACCAAAAACGTGCTTGCTTATGTCGGCGACAAGGCCTCAAGTGATAAGAATTCAAACCGCGACGGTGTCATCAAACTGATCGAGATGAAGGAGTAGCTTTACGGCGAAAGACGCAACAGCAGTAACAAATGACAGAAGAAAGGATAGTATTTCACGCGGGACCCCCCCCCCACGAGGAGCCTTGTATTGAAGCGGCCTTCGTCCTCAGTTCGCTGCTGGTAATAACGAGCTAGTGAGCTCTCGGACATATGCTTGCATTTGAAGACGCGCTCGAGCGACTCCTAAGTAGCAACTGCACTGTTTTACTGTGCCAGCATCTCCAAGTTCCTGAGCTAGCCGATGAGCCTGGTCGAAGGCCCGCTCTGCCTTTTCAAATTCTTCTCGGCGACTAGCAAGATGACCGAGCTGAATCCACGCGAATGTCTCGGCTGGACGATCATTGACAGACTGGATGAGCTGTAGATGCTGATTCATGCACGCGACCGCTGTATCTAGATCATTTTGACGGCTCGCTAGCAGCCCCAGGTTGCCTACAGCAAGACTTTGACCGTACGCACTGTTCAACTGGATAGCCAAACGAAGTGCCTCCTGGTAGTAGTGAGCTGCTTCGTTCGGGCGGTCAAGGGAGCCAAGTGCAAGGCCCAAATTCAAATGAGCCACAAACTTGCCAGCGTCGTCTGCAACCTCCAAATGCTTCTCGTGGTATACAAGTGCATTCTGAAGAGAACGATTAAGTGGAGCCACAAACTTGCCAGTATAGCTGAAGTCTTTCGTGGAGGAGGACAAAAGCTGGTAGTCCACACCAATGCAGTTAGCAGCTAACCCCATGAACAATTTGTTCTGCGTACTCTCGCTAATGGAGAGCACGAGTAGGTAGCAGTCGATGGCTTTTGAGTAGTCCTCAACGTTGTCGTGAAGGATCCCAAGACTGCGACAGTGGTTCTGTCAGTCAATTCACCCAAGCGTTATTGGATGTTGCGACAAATCTAGACTTACCACAAGTAGGTAGTACACTCGGCATCGTGCCGACCTGCACGCTTGCTCGACTCTGCCAACATGGAATACTCCTTGATAAGCTTCGACGACACTGCTCTGCCTCGGTCCTTCAACTTTTGAGAGGAGCAGCAGCTTAGCTTGGCCTCTATCTCTGCTCCATTGTCAAACGAAGAGCGGATTTGTGTCTTTAGCTTGCGTAGTGCGGTAGCATGCGGTGAGAACACTGTCTTCTGCAGACGTTCCTCTCTCGTCTGGGGGAAATCCCTCTCTGGCGTTTTGATCTGACATCATCCAAGTAAACGTCAGCTTTTGAGCTACATCACCCCAAGCTGTCAACATATATACAGCAACGTACACTTTCGGGGGCGTCAATACGTTGTGGGAAATCCAATTGCGGGGTTGCTTCAGCGAGTTGTGTGCCTTCCCGAGAGTTGACTGTCGTCACATTCGCGTTGAGGCTGCAGTCAAGCGAGCTTCAACAAAGTGTCATAACCACGACAACGGGATGTGAATATCACTTACAAGGCGTCAAAAGATCTATTCTGCGGGGACTTGGGCGGTGAACGTGTCGGCGATCTCGCCATCCTGCCTGGACGCAAGTGAAGCGCCGGCGAGCCGTTTTAAAGTTGAAGTGGGATTTATGTTGCTGTAAGAATGCATGTCAGCAACTTAAAACGAAAGACAACTTACGCTTTCATTTGAACAAATTTTGAAGCAAGCTTGCGGCTCGAGTTGTCTGACGATGGTGGCGACCAAGAGCGATCCGAACTGCGTTGAGCCGGCGTGCGCTGACAAGATGGACTTCTTCAAGAGCTCCATGGGCAAGAAGACGAAGAAGACGGCAACGCAGCCCAAACCAGCCACCGATTGTCCGCTGGATCGCCAGGAGTTGGGAAACGCTACGTGGGGACTGGTGCGTGCGCGTTTCTAACGATAACAGCGACTTACAATCATTTAAACTTGCTGTACGGTGTTGCAATTGTCTGCAGCTTCATTCGATGGGCATTTACTACCCGGACAAGCCGTCACCCGAGTACCAGGCCAAGGCTAAGACATTCATAGAGGCGCTTGCGCTCATGTACCCTTGTGTACACTGCGCCGAAGATTTCCAGAAGGAGGTTGCCATATCTCCACCAAGGTAAAATACAGAGAAGTGCCGGTGTACTGCAAAATCATGTGTCTGACGTTGTGGGTTTTGCAGGGTGGAGTCGCGAACGACGTTCTCGATGTGGCTGTGCGAACAGCACAACATTGTGAATCGCAAGATCCACAAACCTGTGTTCGAGTGTACAATGGAGAAACTAGAGGAAAGATGGCGGAAGGGCAAGCCTGCGTGCTGGGGTGAAGATGGCGATGAGGATTCGGCCCAGGACTCGCTGCACTAACTGACTGCAATGCAACAACGCGTGACAAGAAAGAAGTGGTATGAAACACATCTTGTGTGACAATGTTGGATGTCCTCATGCTCTGAGCAAAGCTATTAACGTTAATTAGTACCGGTTTAGCACAAAGCTGTCCTGCTATCATTATTCGGTCTTCAGGGAAAATCTAAGGGTGCATTTAGTCATGATTATTATTCCCATTCATGTACAAGTTTAGTACACTTCAACCAGCACGATTACAAATCCTCATGCTTCGCCGTTTCGTGGGCTAGAGGGCAGACTGCAGCAATGCAACATACCGTAATTAGATCCTGCGCAGTGGACTTACTAGAAGTACAAGGCAGCGTTAAATCAAGCGCACCTTGCAACGTTGCAGCACACATGCGCTCTTTAGCCGGAGTAAAGTCGTCGAAGAATGTACGCGTCAGCTCGTCCTCGTACTCACCAACAAAGTGGCTGCACTGCGATCATAAATGTAAAACATCTTCATTAATGATGTTAGCAAAACAAGGACAAGCGAAATGGTATGTACCGCAGCATTCAACATTCGCTTGGCCTTGCGGTTGTTGTCCGGAAGCTCCAGCGGCACCTGCTCGCAAACATCATCTAGAACCTCCAAAATGCGAGCCTGTCATGGTTTCAGCAAGCAGTAATGGCGGTGAGACCAGGCATGGGTAGGCTTAATAATGCGGAGCTGACCAACAAACGAACCTCACTGCGGGAGTACTTGATCTGCTTCTTCTTCTCGCTAACACGGAAGACGACGTCCATGTCATGATCATTCTGTAGGGGCCACAGCTTAGAATTAGAATACATCGTCGGTAGCTAATCTGAAGGCAAAGCTCTCCAGACCTGTGTGTTGTTCAGTTGCGTTTCGATCTCAAACACAATCGACTTGCAGACTGCGGTTCAAACGCAAGACCAACGGACTTCACCATTTAGTACCTCAGCTTAGTGAAATTATTAGTAATAAGGTCGTGGCTACTCACTACAGCACGATGCAGTCTGACTCTCGCCGTCGCAGTCGAGCTGTGCATGACCAGCAGCGTTGAAGCGCTTGGAGTGGTCCCACCTGGATCCAGTAGCAGTATCCGACAACAATTTAGTGTTGCTGTAAAATTTGGCAGCCGTTACTCAATACCGCACCTGTCGGTCCATCCAAACGCTGCAGGGAGCAAGGCCACCACCGCCAGAGCCGCCGCCTTCATCGCAGTCGTCCAGTCTGAGTATGAGAGCAACGTTGGCAGTTACAGCTGCGGCTATGTGCCCTTATTTAAACCAATCGGGTACTTTTTCCTGTCCTAGTCGATTTCTACACGGCCTATCTTCTTTATCAGGATTCTAGAAACTCGCCTACGTGGACCACGTGGAGGGTCACTCTAAATCATAACTTTTTAAGTGCAAATATTCGTAAAATAGCTAATTTGCAGTGATTTCAATCCATGGAAAGATCGCACGTCCGACCGACCGACGACCGACCGTATCAAAGCGGATCCTGCACCATTTTCTCTTTCACCAGCTAGATCCCCAGTCTGCAACGCCAGCGATGAAGGGAGGCCGCCGCTCGCTGTTGCTTCTGCTCATGACCGTGGCCTTGTGCTACAGCGCGCTATCCTCAAGCAGTGCCCACGCTGAAGTGTCCACGGGCTCGGAGGAAGTGCTTGGGTGCGTCATTCCCTCAGCATAGTCTTATCACCTTCTTTCGACTAATATCTTGATATTGCACGGTGCACGGACAGAAGAAGCAAGCCGAGTCTGCTGGTGAACGACCTGGACGATGAACCGCTGACCGGTGGCGAGAAGTTTGAGTTCCAGGCCGAGGTATCGCGTCTTATGGACATCCTGATTAATTCACTGTACCGCACCAAGGAGATCTTCCTACGCGAGCTCATCTCCAACGCCTCGGATGCGCTAGACAAGATCCGCTTTCTAGCTTTATCCAATAACGAGCTTCTGGGCAAACTCCGAGACCTGGAGATTCGCATCAGCTTCGACAAGGACGCTGGCACTCTCACCATCCGAGACACGGGCGTGGGTATGACCAAGGACGACCTTGTCAACAACCTCGGTACAGTGGCTAAATCTGGTACTGCCAACTTCGTCGAGGCCATGCAAGCTGGAACAGACGACAGCAGCCTCATTGGTCAGTTCGGTGTCGGCTTCTACTCAGTCTACCTCGTGGCGACCGTGTGCGCGTTGTAAGCAAGAACAACAACGACGACCAGTACATTTGGGAGTCGGATGCCAACGCATCTTTCACGATCGCCAAGGACCCACGCGGTGATACACTTGGTCGTGGTACGGAGATCACGCTGTTCCTAAAGCCTGACGCTACCGAGTTCCAAGACCAAGACAAACTCAAGAACCTCGTTGGTCACTACAGCGAGTTCATCACGTTCCCTATTTACGTAAACACAACGTCCACCGAGACGTACGAAGTGGAGGAGGAGCCTGCAGATGTCGAGGAGGTCGTTGAAGAAGAGAAGGACACGGAGAAAGCCACTGAGGAAGACGAAGAGCTTGAAGCTGTGGAAGAAGAAGAGGCGAAGACTCCGAAGTCTCGCACCGAGACTCGTACGGTATGGAAGTGGGAGCGCGTGAACGAGGTCAAGGCCATCTGGACGCGCTCCAAGGACGACATCAGTGACGACGAGTACGAAAGTTTCTACCACTCGCTGCAGAAGACCGACATTACAGACCCGTTGACGTGGATCCACTTCCAGGCTGAGGGTGAGCTCGAGTTTAAATCGATCTTGTACGTGCCTGGCCAAGCTCCTCGTGACTTGTACACTCGTTTTGAGAACAAGAAGGCCGACATCAAGCTTTACGTCCGTAAGGTTCTCATCACGGACGACTTCGATGATTTCTTGCCGCGGTATTTAAACTTTATCGCTGGTGTTGTGGACTCCGACGACTTGCCTATCAACGTGTCGCGTGAAACGCTACAGGAGAACAAAATCTTGCGTGTTATCCGCAAGAAACTTGTCCGGAAAGTTCTAGAGATGCTTCGTAAATTGTCTGAGAAGGATGAAGACGACGATGAAGACGACGAGGAAGATGACGAGGTTGTGGACACCTCAGCCGATGAGTCGAGCGATAAGAAGGAGACTGAAGAAGATGCGGAGAAAGAAGAGGAGGAAGAGGAAGATGGAAATGCCGCGTACAACAAGTTCTGGGAGGAGTTTGGCAAGAACATCAAACTTGGCGTGATGGACGACGCTGCTAACCGTGGAAAGCTGGTGAAGCTGCTGCGTTTTGTTACTAGTGAAAGCGATGGCAAGTGGACATCGCTGGAGCAGTACGTGGACCGTATGAAGGACTGGCAGGATACGATTTACTACATCGCAGCTGAGAATGCGGAGGCTTGTGAGAAGTCTCCATTCATGGAGAAGATGCGTGCCAAGGGTCTAGAAGTGCTCTACTTCGTGGACGCTCTAGACGAGTACATGGTGTCGCACATCTCGGAGTATGACGGCAAGAAGCTCGTGTCTATTACTAAGGAAGGCATCAAATTTGGTGATGAGGACGAGTCGCTCATGCAAAAACGCGAGCAGCTGTACGCAGACAAGTACGTGGCTCTCACGACCGCTCTCAAGACGCTGTACGCAGACAAGATTTCTCGTGTGACCATGTCGCAGCGTGTGGTGGACTCACCTGCTGTTATGGTGACGTCCCAGTGGGGATACTCGGCCAACATGCAACGTATCATGAAGGCGCAGACCTTTGGCAATGGCGAGAAGAATTCTCCAATGTACGGCACTGGATCTGCGATCCTGGAGCTGAATCCTCGTCACCCCATCGTCTCCAAGTTGAATGACTTGATGATGAGCGACCCTGAGAAGGACGAAACGAAGGACCTTGCTTGGCTGCTATACGACACGGCTCTCATCAACTCTGGCTTTGACATGTCGGAGAAGAACCACTTCTCGGCACGTATCCACCGCATCATGAAGAGCAGTATGCGTATTGACAGCTTGGAGCTGGAGCCGGAGATTGAAGTCCCGGAAGAGGAGCCTGAAGTAGACGAGGAAGAGGCGGAGGACTTGGACGAGTCGGAGACGCAGTCGGACGAAGCTGGAGCGACTGAGGAAGCGGATGAACCTGTCGTCGATGAAAAAGATGAGCTGTAGAGTGGAGAGAAGACCGTAAGCTAGCTTCGAGGCCATAGTACAAGTTCTTCTTACAGTTTTCTTCACTGGAAAATGAACGACATTACTGAATGAATACTAAAATGAATGCACTATTGGTTGAGACTAAAGCCACCTCCTACGAACCGGTTTGCTGCTGCGATCGCAAGTTGTCGTTGTTGTTCAGCAGGACTGGTTTACTGTTGTTATTGTTCGGGATGTTTGGCAGCTGAGTTTGCTGATACTGCTGGTTTTTCGAGGCCAGAATGACAGGCTGCTTGTCCTTCATCTTCGCTTCGAGCTTCTTCTTGTAATATTTCCGTTTGAATTCGTGCAACTCGCGCGCTAGACGCTCGATCTCAAACTTGAGCTCGTGCTCCTTGGCTTGTAACATATTCTGCTCACTCAGTAAGCTCTTGAGCTGCTTCTCCTTCTCTCGGACGACCTGCTGGTACCAACTCAGCTGTTCTGCAACTTCAGGACCCGGCTGTCGTGCTAGGATTGCCTTCAGCTCTTGATAAAGTTTATCCTTCTCTTGGTTCACGAGTTCCTTCTCGACGACTTCTTCGGTCTTCTGGATCAGTCGCTTTTGTAGAGTTTGTATCTTCTGTAGCAGCTCGTACGTTGCTGGGTCACTTCCTTCGAGTTTGCGCCATCGATGCACATTCATGGGATTCTCCAGCTCTTCCGACAAAGCCTTCACCTTGGTTTTCTCCTGGAGCAGCTCACGTTGAAGATGATACACTTCCCGCTTGAGTTCGTCTGCTTGACCCACTTGATGCTTGGCAATATACAGCTCGCGCTTGAGATCCGTCACTTTCAACTTCAAGACGCGAATATCCTGAAGTCGCTCTTGGTACTGAGCTTCGCCCTTGCTCAGAGTGGACTGCTGGATCTTAAGCTTCTCGTACAGAAGTGCAAGCTCGTCGTTGCGTCGGATGAGCTGGGTGCCTAGAATGTCGCGTTCATTGATAACCTGACCGTATTCTTTACGCTGCTCCAGCGCCTCATCGTCCATTCGACGAATGAGAGTACTGAGTTTGCGCACCTCCGCATCTTGATTGTTGATTGTTTCTTCGTTCGCAGCCAAGAGAGCTCGTAGACGAGCCAGTTCGCTCTTGTGCTGTTCCTTTTGCTTCTCGACTTTTTGATGATCAAAGTGCTCTTTGACCAACGCAACATCTTTGGCAGCCACTTCTTCTTTAAGTTGCTCGATCTGGTGGGTCAGAATCTTAAACTTGCGCTTCATCTCGGCGATCTCATCTTGCGATTCTATGAGGTTCTTGCTGTACAGGTTGCGCTCACTACGTACAGCCTCGTAAAGTTGCTGCTGTTGCTTCAACTTGGTCTCTCCTTCATGCACCTTCTTTTGCAAGTCGTGGTTTCGCATTTCCTTCAACTTCCCTTCTTCTTCAGCTTGCAAGTAGAGTTTACGTTGCTCGGCTGCCTCCATGCCATACTTCTCGCGTTCCTTCTCGAGCTGATAGATAAGTTTACGTTGCTTGGCAGCTTCGAGCTTGAATCCTGCCAGCTCTTGCTCCAAGTTCTTTGCGACACGCTCGTTGGTCTTGATCTCATCCTGAGCACGACGAACTTTGCCCTCTACCTTCAGCGTCTGCTTCATTTGCATAGCTTTCTCTCGTTCTAACGCCTCCAACTCCGTTCGTGTGTGGTCTTCATTGATCTTGTCTTGATCCAGATCGTGTTGCATGCTCTTGATCTGCGTTTGCAGCACGATCTTGGCCGTGTGTTCGCCCTCAAGTTTTTCTTCTAGTTGCTGCAGAAGTCGCTTCTCTTTGTCCAATTTGCGCTCCACCGTGCCCTTCTCAAGCTTCACGCGGTGAATTTCCTCGTGTCGCGCCTTGATTTCGTTCTCCAAGTTGCGTCGCTCTACTTCAAGTTGCATCGTCTTATCATTCTGCTCGTTCAGGAGATCCGTGAGCTTCTGGGTACGTCCGAACAGCGTCTCATAGTCTCGCACATACTTGTCCATCGTACCTTGCGCCTCCGCGAGCTGCTTCTCCAGCGCTCCAACTTGTGTCTGTAAGCGCGTAAGCTCTGTCGCGCCTTGAGCCTGCTCTGTAGTCTTTTTCTCCATCTTACTCTTGACGTCTTTGATCTCTTTATCCAGTCGCTCCTTGCGTCGTGTCTCGCGCTCTTGTTCCGCAGATTTCATCGCGAGTTGGTCCTTTAACGATTGAATATCACCCTTTTGCGTGGTCGTAAGATTGTCCATGTCTGCCAGACGACGATGCAGCTCTTGGATCCGTTCGTGGTCTTTCTTAGCGTTGGCTTCGTGCTCCTCATTGGCGCGCATCAACTCCTCCTTAGCACGCATAACCTCCTTCAGCATACTTTCTTGTCCAGCACTCAATCCGGATCCTTGTTCCACGAGGCGACCGAGATTGACCATCTCATCCTTGAGCTGCTGGATCGTCTCTTTGGCACGTAGTTCCTTCTCGTGCGACGCATCCACCATCTTCCAAGCCTTCTCCATCTCTTTCTTCAGTGAGGCGATACTAGCTTGGTCCTCCTGCGAGAGCTTGAGTGCTGTCTGTACCTTGGCAGCATTGTTGATGATCTCAGCATTTAGCTCACGACACTTCTTAATAAGTTTCTTTTCTTGTCCATTAGACTTCTTCAACGCGCGGTGGAGCTTCTCGTATTCGAGACGAAAGCGTTCCAAGCTTTTATCGCCTTCCAGCTCAGCTAACACTTCCTCAAAGTCACTCTCCAGTGCCTCCAGAGACGTAGCCTCGTCGTCACCAAGTAATTTCCCGTCAGCTAACGTTTTCTCGGGCCCGCTCGGCTCATCTTGGCCTCTGCTGCTCATCGCAGCCGTGTTTCAGCACTCGGTACACGTGTGCCCTAATTCCTGCTGGCACTGAGCTCGGCTGTGTGTCGTTTTCCTCCAAGTATAGCAATCTGTAGGTCCAGACTCCTTGCCATTTTCGGACACCACGACGACTTATTAATACGTGGATCCAATGAACGCACCTTACACGCGGTTGTTGACAACTTAAGATCCATAACGGCAGAACACACGTGAGCAAGTGAGATAAAAGCTACTGATACGTGTGGATTGACAAGCTGTCTGAATGACAGGTCTCGGTTTCGTAGATTCTCTGGGACCTCAGCGGCTATTGTTGTACTTCCCAGATCTCGGCAAACAGTTCAATGACATCGCCAAGGCGCATACGCTGCGGTAGATCGAAAGTCCGGCGCACGGACGACAATCCGTCGAAGAGCAAATGAGCAGGTACCGGAGGTGGACGCGGCGGACTGCAACAAGCACAAAAAGATTAGTGTATGGAATACGTCAACCTGCAGTGACAAGTAACAGCTACATACCGCGTCTGTGTAGCCATAAGCCAACTCGCACGCGATTCCTGCCATGTGCGTAGCCCCACGTTGAAGAAAGGTCCGTTGCGACCTTGAGGCCACCACGGGTCGGTATCGCTGGTAGCCGCAGCCACCTGGAAGCGATGCAGGTGCTGCACAAGCCAGTCCAGAATCTCTGCGATTGCCTGCGTCGCCGCGTCTTCATCCGTGATGTTGGAGAACGCGAAGCCGCTTTGCTGGTTCACGAACAGCGATGCCTTGAGGGCCGTGGCAGCCTGTGGGTTGGCTGCGCATGAACTCAGTAGCGTCTGATACTGTAGCCATCGCAAGTACACACCGTTAGCTACCACTGAGCTGCACACGCATCACAATAACAAACCGTACAGCTTCAGATGCAGCATAGGGCGATTTCTCGCCAAGCTGTAGCAACAAAGGGATTATAGGCGGTTCTACTGCGTCTGCACCGTCCGCTTCTCCGATGGGTTTCCAAGATACGATGCCCTTCGGGCACATGGCAATGACGCAGTCCATTGCAGCAGACTTTTCCATAGCCACCTTGATCGCCAGGTCGGCGCCTGCCCCCACGCCGCAAAGTCCTATGCGCTGGATGTCGTGTTTTTGCTTGAGATAAAGCACCGCTTGTTGCACGATAGCCTCGTGCTTCTGCGTATTGCTGTCTGCCACCGCTTCGCGGAACAGATCCAGCACCAACACCTTGTAGCCCTGCTCCGCCAACTTATCGGCGAATGAAATGGTCGTGAGGCCAAACCGTTCGGTGGCTCCGGTTCCTGAAGCGAACGCGCGGCTTACGCGGCTCTGCTCGGCAACGAACACGACGCCCGTGACGACACGACCAATGTGCGATGCCGGTGCCACGAAGTATGCATCCTGGAGACGCCCTTCGAGAGCCGGCGAGTCAGCCGACGGGTCGGAAACGTGCATGGGCGACTGATCTAGCGGGAACTGTAGCGTGGATCCTGCCCCAGCGTACACGAAGCGCGGGCGCACGATTCCAGAGACGCTCATCTTGGCGTCTTGGGTCGAAGTTGGCGAATTGGTGAAACCAGGGTTTTGGTTTTATTGATAGAACGTTTAAACGTTTGAACAATTCGTTATGTTGACACACCAAATGACACGACACGTCATTCGTTGCAGATTGAGGGGTTGTGACGACGAACGAAGACACAGTTGCTGCTTTTGGGTGTCGAGAAGTTGACGGCAGGTCACTATCGAACAGGCCACGACGAGCACCAGTCAGCGCACAGATTGGAGCATGAGCGCCGAAGACACCCCCAAAACGGACGCCGTGTCCACGGTACGCATACTAGACTTCTGCTCGTTATTTTACGACCTTCCCTGCTCTCAACGCTGCTCGGGGAGACGAGGAATGGCTCGACACGTGCTTACAAGACAGCGAAACTGAACATTTTTCTCTGCTGCGTGCACAGACAACGGACAAGACATGGGAGACCGAAAAGGGTATCCGCAAAATGGCTGATCTTCTGCGCGGACGCAAGGGTATGCCGTCACGCCACGCTGTGGAGCTCGGGAAGCGCGTGGAGTACTTCCGTGGTGACCGTTTGGCCACCTTCCTGCTCGCCAGTCCTATGGCCAAGAAGTACTTCCCGGATCTTCAAACTAAGGAGGATGTTAACTCGGTGGGTCACGCACTCGTGCAAAACAGCTACATCCACCGCTCGGAGCGCGACGCCAAGAACAAGAAGATTCTCAAGCCCACGCCCAAGCAAGACTTCTCACCTGAAGGATACTACACGTGGATGTACGAGGGGTCCAAGACGCTCCGCAACATTATGACGGCGCTGCTGATCATTGGCTTCCTGGTCGTCACCTGCTTCCCCATCTGGCCACAGTGGGCCAAGGTGGCACTCTGGTACATGTCCGTGACTTTCCTTATCTTCATTGCTATCTTCGTGGTGGTGCGTCTCTTCATCTTCTTCATTCTCTGGATGGTCGGCTACGAGTACTGGCTGCTGCCCAACATCTTCGACGACAACCTGTCGGTGGCTGATTCGTTCGTGCCGCTCTACTCCCTGCGCGCCACAGACGCGTCGGAGCGTATCTACCGCGTTGTGGGTCTTATTGCCTTCGCTTGTTTCTGCGTGTGGGTCAAGAACCAGCCTACAGACTTTGACGATTACATGGAGCTTACCAAGCAGTTCACGGACGATATTTACAGCGGCAAGCTTCTGAGCGATATGTCACAAAAGGACCAGGACAACATTGATGGTGTCAAGATACCGGACCTCGAGGATCTTCTGAAGGACGACGACGAGGACGAGGACCAGGATGCCAAGTTTGACAATATCTTAGATGAGGATGAAGATGAAGATGAGAACTCGAAATTCTCCAAAGCTACTGAGGATGATGATGATGAAGTGGTAGACCGGGACTTGTAGATGGCACCTAGTAGGCAGACTGAATGACGGACTCAAGACCGTAATTTCAACTTAGTTCTTGATAATTTCTTCCCAAACGCCGTGTCTTGCAGCGTCCTACTCGAGTTAAAACATGCAAAAGGTGTTTAGAATGCAGTTTCGCCACGCACGCGATGCTTTGAGTGGCACCTAGTTCCACGGAGTCAAGGTGACCTCATCGTACACGACGCCATTGCGGTTCAAGACGAACTGCACGCTCATGGCCTCCTCAGTCGAATCCACGCGCAGGTATCCCCAGTCGTTTAGGTGGCTCACACTCCACTCGCCAAGCTCCTTTGAGAATCCTTGCTTCTCCAAACCAGCGCCTGCCGATCCAATCACAATGTGGACAGGTCCTTGGCCGTCCTCTGTGCACTTCCCGTTACGCACAGCACAGCTACGCTCGTACGAGTGCTGGTGACCCACTAGCATTAAATTCACTTTGTACGTCCAGAGCAAGTCCTCCACTTCATCGCGGAAGTGCTGAGCCACCTTGTAGTCGGCCTCCTCGCCAAGCTGAGTGGTGTACATCATCCGGTGCGACGTTAAAACGACCCACGGCGTCTTCTTCCGATCCACATTCTTCAAGTCGTTCTCCAACCACTTGTACTGCTTGGATCCACGACGCCAATCGTGCTCGGATGAAATCTGGATAACGTGGATTCCACCGTAGTCAAACGAGTACCAATAGATACCATTACCGTTAGCGGGAGCATCCCAGCGGTAGTACATCGGCACCGAGCATTCACCGGACGAATCTTCACCGTAATTGGCCCAGTCCGGGTGGAAATCCATTCTCCCATCCTCCCCCATAGCGCCGCTTGGGTCATTGGCACCGCCAGTTACGTAGTCATACTCGTGGTTACCAATGCTGATCATGTACGGGACTCGGGTAGCGTATGGCTCAATCACATGGAAGAACTCGTCCCACACGTGAGCGTGACCGCGAGCGTAGCTGATGTCTCCAAAGTGTAGGAGGAAACTGTCGTAGCCGTCCATCACGTCTTGATACGATCGCACGGCAGTAGACGTCGCAGCAGGCGCCGGATCCACGCCCATATCAGCGTACGCAATGAACTTGGCGCTCTTTACGGACTCGTCCGGACGACTCATGAGCGAGTAAACCGAGCTCCAGCCATCCTTGTCACTGCCAAACTTGTAGAAGTATCGTGTTCCTAACTTCAGTCCTTTTAGGATGACTGTGTGCATGTTACCTGGGTCACGGAACCATTGCTGGCTCGTGAGGTTCGCTGGACGGTGGCACATGTGAGCAGCTGTGTATGTCTTGGACTTGCCTTCAGCATGCTTGTTCAGCGCAGCAGGATCAAGGCCGTACTTGACCACAGGCGTGTTACGGGAGGCTGAGTTAAACATCACTGACATCTCGTCGACATTCTCTGTGAGGGCAATATGCCCGTGCTTTGGGGCACTGAAAGATTCAACCATACCCACTTCCAGTTTGGCAAGCGGAGCGAAGACGTTGCCATTTGCCTGGAAGTTGAAGTACTCCACGGTGTAATTGCAGCGCATCATGTACAGCGATGAGAAGCGGATGGAGTTGGGCAGCTCCGGCCCATCAGCCCCAGGTCCATTGGCTTCCGTGATGCCAATCTTAACGAGAAAATCCTTGTCGTGAGCCTTGGGGCCGCAGCTGAGGCCGACAAAGTCCGTCTGATGCGGACTCTTCACACCACTCCAGGAGATCACCAAATCCTCTCCGTCCCTTAGTAGCGGCGGTGTTGCAGTCAGCGTGACAGTACCCAGATCGCCAGCAACGTTACCTTTGTACATATCCTGCAGAAAACCGGTTTTATCGTCGCGTTTAACGTCCCAGACACTGTCCTCGTAGTGGACGACAGGACGCGGGTCTCTGGCCAGTTGATCGCGCAGAGTGTCTACATATCTGTAGCTCAGTGGGGGCTTTTCCGCTAGCACAAACGCAGCCAAGAAAGCGGGTAGCAGTAGCAAAGTCTGAAGAGACGCGACCATCGCTCGCTTCTATTGCGTGATTCTTCTATCCAGGCGCTTGTCTTCCCCAGCGCCGATCCGCTTATGGTTACGGTGAATCTCAGTTCAACTTGACTTCTTCGCTGACAAAACCGGAGCTTTTAGACGAGAATAAACATGCTGATTCTGTCATTGAAAAGCTGATTTGTTCAAATACCTGTTTTTCGACCAGTTACCGTGCAGTTTGCATTTTGCTTGGCAAAACGCACTTTGAGCAGCATGGGCATGAACTTTTGGCACTCGACGCACTAGTACGCTGACATCTCTACCTGTAAGATACGGGCGAAGTGCTGACGTCCTTCTCTATGTGTTTTCCTCCGATGGTACAGCCTGTACTGGATGAAGGATGTGACCAAGAGCGACCTGCGGAAGAGGAACCCGCAGGACCGTAGGCACTTGACGGACGACGAGATCGACAGCATCCACCTCGCCAACATTTCGCGTGAGTTGTAAACGAGTGGTTGTCCATCGATTCTGATAGAAAAAATGGAGGACAAGACTACTAATTTGATGTTTTTACTGGTGTTGTATGCTTAAGTGCTTGAGGAGATCGGCCCCCGGTTGAGAGTTCGCCAAATCATAATTTATACGGCCATCATTTTCTATCGTCGCTTTTACCAAACGTAAGACTACGGTGGTTTGCGTAGCATTAGATTCTAGTATCTGACGAGTAATTTGGTACACGTGACAACAGGCAGAGCTTCGTGAACTTTGATCCTCATCTGGTCGTAGGTACCGTGTTCTTCCTGGCCTCCAAGGTGGAGGAGAGTCAGCTATCGTTGACAACAGTCGCCTCTGTTCTACATCACTATACCACGAGTAGGCGGAAACTAGCTACTTCGGTAGATTGCGCTGTCAGACGAAGTGTCTAACATAGTTTTGTGCTGGCGATGAAGCTGGCGTGGACGAGGACGAGTCCATGTACACGTTCCAGGACAAGGATATCCTCGAGTGCGAGTTCTACGTGATTGAGGCGTTGCAGTTCGACTTGATCCTGCATCATCCGTTCCCTTCGCTCCTCCAGTACGGCTACATCAACTGTTTTGTCTCGACTTCCTGCTAATAGTTTCTCTCTGGCCTATAGATTTCTGGACGAGTTTGAAATTCATGAGGAGTGTCTTCAACTCGCGTGGTAGGCTTTTTCTTTTCTTCACTTGAAAGAAGTGTCCTGTTGTGCTAACTCCGCAATGATCGCGATCATGTCCGCTTAATAGGCAACTCATTCAGTATTCTTATCGCACGGACATCATTCTTCTGTATCCGCCGTTCATGGTGGCGTATGCGGCTGCGTATATCTCATGCCGTGATGCGGGCTATGATGCCGCGCAGGTGTTTGCCACCGTGAACATCAAGAAGGACTTGCTGCTGAAGATCGTTGGCGAATTTCAGGACGCTGTAGAGGATGAGACGAAATTGTACGCGGTACAGGCGACGGCTTTGGAAAAGCTGGATGAGATCATCCCCGACGCATCTGCTGCGGAGGCGGAGGCCGCGCCCAGTGCGCCAGCGGAGAAGTGAGACGTAGGATGACAGCGATGTAAATGAGATCATTCCAATCCTGAAATAGTGCTGGTCTTGCTCGAGATCAAGGCCCTAGTGCCATTTAACACTGCTGGTACAGCAATGCTGTATGCAACGGTTGCAATACTCTCAGGAGTATTTGAATACCGGTATGGTGGGTTTCATTAAGGAGCGTGCAGGTTTCTGGACAAATTTGAGGCAGGCGGCTTATGTAACTAGGTCATCTTCTGAACGGTGGCTTTGAACGATAACAAGATATCGCGACCCTGTCGTACTATATTACCACGGGGTGCGCAACACCATAACGACCGTTGAGCTCTTGCGTGCAGATGGAACAAGTGTGCGAAACAGCATGCTGTCCATTTTTTAGGCTGTTCGAACGGATGGCCAGATCTGTGAGCCCGGCCAGCCGGACAGTCGTCGGGTCTCAGCTTGGCTTGACGTTGCATCTCATTCGCTGCGATGAAAGGTGGTGACAGTGTTTCCAATGCAGCAACATCGGTACATAATGGTTTTGCTGGTTTTGCTGAATCCAGTTGAACTTGAACTTTGTTCCCATTACAGTCGTGCACCTCCAATTAGGCAGGGCGGACCATATCAACAGTGCCAGGGCATAAGTGCAAAACGTAAAGCAAAAAACAAACGCGAATCCAGTGCACTGATATTTTATTTGTTAATTCAGTACAACATTTACGCCAATCTTTTGGATAATCTTGGCGTCAGACGCGCGAATCGCGGGCGCGCAACAGCGCCCCCGGTCGCGATAGGCGTCTGGCAAGGCGGCAACTTCCGCCAACCGTTTAAAAATACACTGGACGGTAGTGCACTTTACTGCTTGGGGGTCTTAAAGCGCTCCGTTGCCCAACGAGCAAGTTCGGAGTGAGTGCTTGCAAGATCTGACTTGTGCTTCTCGCACAAAGACTGCTTTTGTGGGACATGTAGGAGGAAGGGCGATGTCTAATTGTCTTTGGCGGTTAAAATCAAAGTGTGTGTTTGTAAGAAGACGTCCGATCCAAAATTTAAAACCAGATCGATGCGGCGTGTCATCCCTCGGCGAGGAGGGGAAAACCGTTGAGGTTAATTGCTAGGGTGGTGATGGGCAAAGGTAATTGCGCATCCGATTCGCGTAATCATAAAATCTGGCAGGGTATCGACTGATACCAGTGCCGAATTGGAGGTGCACGACTGTACGATGGTGAGACCCCTGCGTCCGCGTACGAGCTCGGCGGTATGGTCACCGCGCGGTGCCATCAGATGATCGTCGGGACAGGAGTCTTCTCGGCCACCACCAGTGGTAAAAACCACCAGCTGAAGACGTATTAATACATGCATTATTTAAACATGAGGTCTACCGGGCTTTATAATTTTGCGGGTGGCTGGAATTGCGAAAGCAATTTTTAGGCCTTTTTGCCTTGCATTTTTGCATACAGTTTGGCCCCACCGTGTTGTACACTCGTACAGCGTAAACTGCAGCCTTGATCGTGCCTGTGCTCCTCAGGAGCCCAGGAGCCTCCTGGGCTTTGTAGCAGACGTGTGTGCCACACACGTCTGCCTCTGGCCCACACAGTGTGGGCCAGAGGCACCTTCGCGTCGTCGCAGCTGCTATTCAAGGTTTACCGCGCTTGGCGGCTTCGCAGGACATGAGCTGCAGCAGCGAGGAGAGTCGAGCTTGTTGCCATTTGCGATGCAGCCTGCATCGCAGGGCGCGGCAAGATCTCGGCGGATATTACTTTCAAAAACGCCGTGTAACAGACTTGCATATGTGCCACAAGAAACCTAAAGTCCATCTCTTATAGATTGAACCTAGGGGAGATGGACACGCACCTACCTTCCTTGGTGCATGCGCATGATTCTAGGAAAGAAATCAGGTTTCAAAGCTAAACAATCACAAGGATAACAAAAGGTTTGCAAAACCTCTTCAGCGAGAGTGGAAGGTTAGCAAATTTAGCAGAATTATAAAAGAATTTGCCATTCGATCCGTCTTTATTACGAAAGTCAGCAGATGCCGCGCTGCCGGTCCGTTCATTATCGGATCGGCGTCTTCAGTGTGAACTGCCCAAAGGTGAAGTCGTCTCGGCGCCGCCCCTCCAAGTTCAAGTTGCCCACCAGCGGCTGCGCTCGCTCGTCACCGGCGTCTCTGCCTTCTCCACTTGCCGTTTTCCTCACTCGGAGACAGCGTAGGTAAACAGCGGACAACCATGGTCATGCAGAGCGTCCTAACCGGGACACCACAGCGTGTGCTGCACACTACTATTGCGCACGTCTCCAAGCCCTCAGGGTCAGGTGCGCACACATACACGCAGTACCTCGTGCGGGTGTCGGACGAGCGCTCGCCCGGTCTCAACTGGACGGTCTATCGACGCTACTCAGAGTTCCGCAACTTTAAGCTCGCACTCGAGGAGGCAAGTAAGCGCGGCGATATGTGCGCACACTGCGCGATCATGTCCAAACGCACCTGCTTCGTTCTCTTCCCGCACCGCCGTCTCTTCGGCAACCTACGCGAGAAGACTCTTGAAGCACGCCGCTTCGGACTCAACACGTTCCTTGACGCTGTAGCCAAGCACGCACGCACTTGTCGAGAAAGCATGACGTGCCAAACGCGTCCGCTTATGGACAAATTCCTCATGGTCAACGACATGCGCTACACGTACTTGAACGTGGACATGAGCGAGTCCAGTGGTGCCGACCAAAGCAGCAAAGTCTCTGCAGGCGAAAAGCGTGTGTCGATGAGTGGCCTCTCGCACCGTTCCTTATCAATGGTGAATCGTACTAACCGATTGAGCGGCTACTCCGACTACCGTGAGGATGCTGTGCGGAGCTGCACCGAGGAGTGGACACACACTGAAAGTGACGAGCTCACTGAACCGGCGACTGATCCGAAGGCAGATCAGCCTCAGGAGGAAGCATCTATGACGAAAAACACTACACCGCAGGACAACCAGCTGCAGCAGGATGAAAGCGGTGTGACAGTGCAGCGCACTAGCAAGCCAAATCTGCTGGCCTACGCGAACGACCGACGTTCCCGCACGCACTCTTGGAACGACAACACTTCTCAGCCCGCGGCTAGGCAAAGTCTTGCATCCGAGTGGGAACGTTCTACCTACAAGCAGCCGTCAAGCACGTCCACGTCCCGTCATTCGGACCCTGGACTTGCTCGGAATGAGCTGCTGAACTTCACTCGCGGCAGCTTTTCTGGGGGCGGTCGCCCGCACCGCGCCGAGGGCCGACCGCGCTCTCGCAAGGTGCACTTATCATCTGCCGCTAAGCGCGTGAAGAAGCTAGAGGAGGCGGAAGCGCGCTTCTCCGTGCAGTCGCAGGCACGGAAGCCGAAGTGCCTTCCGCGACTCGCGACGATCCCCGAGTAGGCTTGTTGGCAAGCTGTGCCTCGCGCGATCCCGTTCGGACTCCACCAAACTAAACCGCCGGCATCGAAGGCGGCACTTGCCGTGTATAGTTTCTATCTATCCCAACCATAACTTACAAACAGAACCATGAGCTTGTACATTTGCATGATACATTCACGTGCCCGTCTACGCGGCTGTGAGCATTAGAGAAACGAATCTCCGAACAGAGCACTTTCGCGATTCGTGCCCAGAAATAGACAGAGAAGAAAACATGTACAGACGCGATACATGAAGCCGTTCCGGCGTTTTGCCCCCACAATGCGATGGTACATACCGGTCCTGTAGGCCAGTGAAAGCGTTTCCCACCAGCACCATTGCCTTAGCCAGTTAGGGAGCATAACACGCATTCGGTTGACAATTGTTACTTCATGTTACTACTAGTAGCGACCCTAGGAGCTCTAGGACTCGTTTAGAGCAATCATAGTTGAAGTGCGAATTTCTTTCTCAGACCGCCTGGCCACGCATTTATCCGGTGATCACTCGCACACCGCCGAGAGACGCAATGGTGTGGGCGAAGTTGTGGTTCGGCTGCTTGATGAACATGAGGTTCTTGGGCTGGCTGTACTTGCGTGCAACCCACTCGACCATGGCGGGGCCGAACGGACCCTCGACGCTGAGGAAGTTGAGCTTGATCTTGAGGTACACGTGGTCAAACATGGACACCGTCTCCTTGAAACCTTCAGGAACTACGGTGCCACGCGGGTGGCAGTGCACAATGAACAGCGTGCGCGTCTGTTCGTTGGTGCGCACGTACAAAATGGCCTTGTTGATAATGTTCAAGTTCGGGGTCTTGCAGAAGAAAAACACGGCCGGCTCGTTGATCTCTCGGATGAATCGCGCAATTGTCTGGCCACCACGGGCACCAGTACGCAGCGAGTGGGTCTCGTCCTCATCGTTGCTGCGTTGAGACGGGCATAGCTGCCGCATGCAGTAAAGACACATCCGCAACAGGAAGGTGCGTTCGAACATAATGTACACAAGCGACAGCACCGCGATGAAGTAAAGCGAAAAGTACGTCAGGATCGTCGGGTCGCCCAGCAGATTGCCCATGAACGTAGTCACCACCATTAACACACCTAAGATGCAGCTCCACCACGGCGCGATCACCGTGCGCGGAATCTCAGCGCGCTTGAACTTAAGCAACATGCAGCCGGTGCCGAACAGCGTCATGAGGCCTAAGAAGGCGTAGGTGTATACGCCCGACAGAGTCTCCGTGTCGCCATGCAGAATCAGCACCAAGCTTGTTGCCACCATGAAGTAACCAATGATGATAAAGTGGTTCGTTCCGCGCGCCTTGTTCACGTGAAGCAGGAAATCCGGTACCACGCGGTCACTAGCAAGTCGACGGACGAGACCAACAACACCAACGTATGCAGTCAGAACAGCACCCGATAGCACGATGAACGCGTCCAGCGCCACGATCAGTTGCATCTTCTCGCCCGCAACCTTCAGTCCCATTTCAGCCAAGACGGTGTTCCTTTTGTCGACAATTCCGCCTGGGCCGTTCAGTGGCAACACACCAAGCGAGAGCAGAGCGATCAACGGATTGAAGATAGCAACGCCCCACCACATGTTCTATTTAGTGATCAATGCATGTTAAGTTAGTGTCAAAAGTACATTGGGAACATACCGCACAAGAACGTACCCGCAGGGTTTTCGGGAAGACCCCATCAGCTTGTTCCTCCACAAACTGTGAAGACGTCTCAAAGCCAGAGATACCGAGCATAGCAGTTGATGTGCCAAAGAAGATGGCTGTCAAGAAGTTGCCTGACATGATATCTCCGGCGAGGTTGATGTCTGGGAAGTCCGTGTCGAAGTTCGCCCACAGCGTCTGGAAGTCATCCTTCACGATATAAATTGAAGAAAGCACGCAGAGCACCACCAGCGTCGTTGCATGAGCGATAAAGATCACAAGTGCCACGACAGCACTTTCCGTGATGCCGATGAGACTCAGGACAGCAAAGATGAATAGCAGACCGATCGTAGCCGGCACAATCTCCAGCGAAGGCACGTGCGACGCCAAGTAGTTGCAAGCCGATGTTCCGGAGACCACACCCGTGGCAATATATGACAAGATCGCGAGGGAGGCAGCCATGGCAGCCACGCGCTTCGACGTGGTGTTGAGCAGGACGTTGTACGACCCTCCGTTAAGTGGCACGGCATTCAGCACTTCTCCGTAGATGAACCGGTACAGATACAAAATGCCAGCCACGATGGCTAAAGCCACGGGTGCCAGCTTACCCGCCTTGGACGCCACAAGCCCCGAGACGTACAGGCAGCTGGACAAGATATCGTTCCCGCAGATAGCTGTAGCCAGCCACTCCGACAGCTTGGTGTGGTCCGTGGATAGATGAGCTTGGATCTCGTTTAGCTCGGTATCGCTCGCCACTGTCGAGGAGTGGTCCCCCCAGCCGGGGAACTCCCAGCCCTTAAGCGCGTTCGTGTGCTTGTTCACGTGCAGCATCAGCGGACTTAGCGGTGGAGGGCTAGCTCCCACATCCTGTCGCGCGTGGCTCGGTATGGCTCCGTATCCAGAGGGGTGCTTCTCCTTGTCAGCCATTGATCTGAGTTGGATTGGTAGCACGAGGCTCGAAACTCAGGATACGACTTGGACGGCGCTTGGCAAGTTGGCTTGTGATAGACCGTCGCAAACGCTTGCAAATCTTTATGTCTACCGATAAAATACCGGTATTATATCGGAAGCAAAGTGTCACACGTGAGGTTGTCAGCGACGCGACCATTTGTCGAAGCAGGAATCCTGCGCAGGTGAATCTTGGGAGTCCTCGTCTCGTTACGCTCACCTGTAAGGGCTAGTGTGCTGCAGCATTGTTGCCACCAACGGCCATGGAGTTTACTTTCGAACGACGAAACATGTGCATGGCAACCTTTACTCTGCTCGACGTACGTAATGGTTTCACGGTTGTAGTGTTTGCAGATTGCGTCTGTATTTATTCTCTTTGCACGCTCCAGTTGGGCTGCAGCTTACAAGTCGTTCAACTGCTTGACGTTGCTACGTAGAAGTTCTTCGTCCGCGCCGGAAAACTGTAGAGATCATAGTGACAAAGAAGTTCAAAGTCAGCGGCAACTCACAGCAATTTCAATGCAGCATGGGCGTACCGAGAGCGACTGCTGGAACTTGCCATCCTTGAAATAGAAAAACGTGGGCATCGACTAGCAACAACAACAGCACAAGACAAGGTCATGTCAGCAAGAACACTGATTCATTTCGTAGGGAATGCGGCGGTGACACTCACGCGCACGCCGGCCTTGGAGGTGGTGTCGTTTAGCTCATCGACGTCCAGCTTGGCAAAGTCGATGTCTTCGTACTTGGCACTGTATCGCCATCATCAATCACATGCTCAATCTACCCCAAGCAACTGGACCCCTCTCACCTCAGTTTGTCGTAAATGGGACCGATCATCTTGCAAGGTGGGCACCATTTGGCCGTAAAGTACACGATCGCCTTGCGACCCGTTCCCTCCTGCGCACAAGTTCTTAGGCAAGAGCAACTCATAACCATCAAGCAACCGGCAATCACTCGCACCGTGGTAATCTGCGTGTACGCATCGTCCGACCCGATAATCTTCACTCGGCTCTGGGCGCTCGAGGACAAAGCGCGACTGCCGCGCAGCACGCGAAGACTCGTCCTGGACGTGAACACCTTTAGCATCATGTTGAAAAAGTGAGGTTGGTTTTACTTAGATCGATACCGGTATCGCCAGCTTACCGGTATGTCAATGTCATGCCAAAGTATCCTCGTATATCAGGTCCATGGAGAGCCCCGAGGCAAGTCGCGACGACCGCATGGCCACGCTGGCGGGTCGCCGTGCAGAGCTTCAGAAGCTGTCGAGCGAGGAGGGTGAGTGGACGCTGTATCGCACACTGTGTCAGTTCCGGCTTGGATACTTCTCGTTCCTTGTGCTTATGTGCATACTCATGTTCAGTGTCACGTTCCTCATGGAAATCTTCTTCGCGATATTTCTGCCTAGTGCACGTATGGACCCATACTTCACAGTGCGCTCCATTGTACTGCTAGCTTGCCTCCCCTTCGCGCTTATATTCTTGTCCTACTGCTTCGAAGAATCTAGTCGGCTGTTCTTGGACGCCATTGACACGAGAGAGGGTAGTCTCGCCAACTTCCGTCTGTCGCTGTGTGTCTGCATCCACTACATGCGTCACTGGCGCGAGATGCCTGACGACCGAATGGAGAGAGGACGGTATGACGCTTTTCGGGGTGATGACGAGGATCAGGAAGCCTGGGCGAGGTTCGTCGGCTGGATTACTGCTGGACCGAAATATGTGCTGAGCACCATCTACACGAACGACCCGTTTAGCGACAACAACAAAGAGTCCGAAGATGAGAAAAGATACGAACTGGAATTACTTTTCCAGAGACAACAGAGTGAGGAATCAGGCCACCAGCACAGCAGCCGCTTTCTTCGTCACCGAAGCAGCAGCCAAAGTAGTAGCAGTAGTAGTGAAGAAAATTCACCGTCGTCTCGGTGGAAACGAGCTTTACAAGTTGCAAGTACGACGGTCAAGTTTAACACTACGCATTTCGACGGACCTCCGCTGGACTTCTCCACGCTCGTCATCACAGACGTGTTGTGTCCATTTGTCTTCGAGCTGATCACATTGTGGACGTTCGTTGTCTCGCTGCTAGCAAATTTATCTCCTCTGGCTGCTTTTCTCGACTACATTCAATGTGGCTTCTACATGCAAGCAATCTATCTGGCTGTCTGGATGATCTGCCACTTTTGCAGTGCTAGAAACCGCAAGATGAGAGAGTTTGTGAGCAACTATCGACGTCGATACCGTGACATGCAGCGCGAACTACTTGAGATGGAGAACGAAAAGCGTGCGGAACATCTTTGGCTGGTAAGCATCGGCTTTCGCGCTGTGGAGCAGTTCCAGACCAGCTTCTTTACGTTTGTGGAGGCCATTTTTGAGTTTGGGTACAGCATTCGAGAGAGGTGTTGCCCCTGCATGTCGCCACCAGAAAATGATACCTCAGTCACAAGTGAAGAGAAGACACCTCTGCAACAGGGCGACGAAGCCCGCTACATGCAAGCACAAGAAACGTCGGAAGTTTTTACCGAAGGAACGGATCCAGTCACGGATGCGAACGAGCCTCAGGAGGCTTTGGAAGGCAAGCAGCGCATGCACAAGATTGGCGAGCATATTCGGGAGCTAAACGTTTGGTCCAAGTTTTCAAGCAAGCGTCGGATTCGTATTTTGTGGCCAATCGTCATTCTGAGTGCAATCATCTCATTCTACGCATTTTATGTTGGTTGGGGCATCATGGGCATTTGCCTCATCCTTCTTGGCGATACGATTCAGGCCAAATATCCTCAGGTACGGCGCTTACTACTATAATAACTGTGTCCTCGATTGCTGCTAATTCGGTTCGTCTGTGCAGATTTTTGGGCTGACGTTCAAGTCATTCATCACCTTCTTTGTTATTCTGTCGTTCGTCTTCTTCTCGTCCACGTGGGCGATTGGAACTTTCGTCCAAGGTGATGATTTCTTCGTGTATCCACCGACTGATGAATCTTTAGCTGCTCTGGCAACTCCTTTCGCTATGAAGTCAACAGAATCGCCCGTGCACTGGACAAAAGTCGCAGAGTATCCTGTGTGTGCGATCGACTTAAATTCACTCGATATTGTGGATTTTGCACTCATTTCCGATGCTGTCTACGGTTGGAATACCGCGATTCAAGTCAAGTCATTTACCCAACGCTTTAATGGCACGGAGCTTGGTGATTGGGAATTCGTAGCACGTAACGATGAGGATGCGGGCCACCAAGTGTGGACTGAGCTCTACTTTCCTTCGATTAACATGACTGTTATTGCGGTGAGAGGGACAGCTACAGCTACCGATGCTCTCGAAGATCTCCACTACTGGTTCGGTGTGAGCGTGATGCAGGCTGCGAATATCTTCATCCCTTTCTTGAAGCAACTTCCTAGTGAATTCGTCGTGAAGATGCTGTCCATGAACTTCCTCCGAGCTATCATGCCACCTCCAGTGTACTCGGAGCTGCTAGACCATGTGATTGTTGTTCGTAAACGCGTTGGTGGAGATCGTCTTGTGCTAACTGGCCATAGTTTGGGCGGAGCAATGGCAGCCATGGTCGGAGCTAAGACGCACACGCCTGCCGTATCCTTCTCAGGACCTGGGCTACTGTACTCCCGTGGGCGATTCGATGTCGATGACGGATCTATTCGCGACTACGTGATGACCGTCAAACCTCGACGCGATATTGTACCACAGGTGGACGAGCTTGGCGGCATGGTCCAAGAGATCGAATGCAGACGCGACAACCCACTCGCTTGCCATAGCACCGTGACGCACATGTGCGAGCTCTACGCTGCATGCGGTGACAAACGCAAGCGTGACTGGTCCAAGGCGACGCAGTGCCAAGAGTACTTCCATGGCAACTAAAGTGGATCTTCGATCTGCTTCCACTTCAAAGGGATTAAATAAAAGGGTTTAAATATACTGAACTTTGTAAGGACTCTTCAATCGAATGTCGCGCATAACAGCATTGCAGCCACAAACCATTTTACTTTGGAAAATGAGCAGCGTAGCTCGCCAAGAAGTGACGACGGAGGTGACGACGCCTCCATCCACCGACACGGCTCCCATCTATCGTGTTGAACTTCAACCACGACCGCATGTGACTTTCGACGAGAGCGTCGTAGACAACGAGCACCTTGGACGTAGGCGCTCCAACAGTAAGTCGATTCTCGGAACCTTTTAACAATTTATAGTGGCTGACTTCGTTTGGTGCCATAGAATGCTGCATTTTTCACAAGAAGAGGGAGTTCGGAGAGAGCTCCAGTGAGAGCGGTGATAACTCAGATGGCTCGGATAGTGGTGGTGAGCATCATAACCACAATCACTCACATGACTGCAAGCATAAAGCGCGTCGACGTCGGACGAGGCGGAAGAAGCGGGCGCCTTCGCCATCTTCTTCCGACGAGGAAAAGATGTCTGCGCCGGCTGAGTAATGTGGGCGGTAAGGAAGTTAGTAAACAGATCAAGATGATGGAAGAAAGCACTTTGTATTCGAGCGTGAGCTATACTAGTTGACTTGCCAACTGCATTACGGTCGGGAAGCACCTCCACGCTATAAGCACCGCGGTCTGGAGAGTTAGAAGTGATAAAGACCGCTTGCACGACTTTAATACAGCTAGTACACAGCATTGATTTACTAGGTTGTGCTCGCTGGTGTCTCCTCCACTTTCTCCTGCAGCGACTCCCCTTTCGCTTGCGTGTCCGCTTTCAACTGTTCAGATCTTGCCTCAGAGCCCTGCATCAATATCGATTAATGACTCTAGCGAGCTGCTACAATAACGGAGCATGAGTGCCGCCTCTTACCTTGTTTTGGTCAACAATTAGCATGCAGTCGATGATCGCACGTGAGTTCAACAACGAGTTGTCCCATAAATTAAGCAAATGGAGCAGAAAGTTGTGGCGCAAACCGTGATCCAGGAGCCTGTGGGCGCAAGACAGTGAGCACCAATAGAGTTTCTCGTTTGAAGTGGTTGAGTCAACGCACCATCTCCCGTGGTTCCGAGCGAACATGCGGCACGAAGACGCTACCATAAAGTCGGCCAGGATCCTGCTCGCACATTATGAGAAGTCAGAGACTACAGTAGTTCTCATCACCCATTCACAATTTGCACATACTTGGACTCCTTCACGTGGCGGTTCCACTTCTTCATAAACTCCTTCTCTTCCAGCGAGACATCCTCAAATTCGTCCAGTAACTACATCAATAGAAACGAACCACAAAAAATATCAGCATTCAGCTCATTCGCCACTCCATTCCCCCTGTCAAGCTCAACACGTACCCGCTCGCTCTGCTTGGTGATCCAAGTCTCATCAACATCGTCGTCGCTGTCATAGTCCTTTTCGTGGTCCAGTACCACAGCGCCAGTTCGAGAGTGGAAATACTGGCGTTGTAGAAGAGGCGCATAGAACTCCTGGGGCTGTTCTTGCGAGAGCTCATCCATCTCATCAAACTCCTGCATCAAGCCTTCAACAGCCTCCACTGCCTGAGAGCCATACGGGCCATATTTCTTTCCAGACAAGTGGGTAAAGTGGTGCTCAAAGCGACTTGGCTCCTCATTCGGAAACATGTCAAGCTCCGACAACGCTGAGCGGCGACCGGAGCTGCCATTCCGCGGGTGATACTCTTGCATTACCATCACATAAATGTGCGGGATGTTATCGTGTCCAACCTGCATGTTAAAAATGTAAATTAGGCATTTAAATCATCGCGTGAAATTCGTAACCGGGCACACAGCCGCCAACTCACCGTAGCTTGGAAGCGGAAGCGGTCGTGGGACGAAACCAAGTGAGCAACCAGACCACGCAATGAGCCAGCAAACATGTTGCACCATGCGCACGAGTACTCCATGCGCTTCTCGCTCATTCGTCGCAACATCGAATGGTACAGAAAATGGAACCACACCTGCACAAGATTATCAAATCAAGATACAAAGAGAGAGTAAGTATCCTATGCTCCTTGGCTTATGCAGTAAGAGTATAACATACCCCTGAACACGGATTCTGCTCAGCAGAGGTAACATCCCGTTTCGGGACGGCTAATGCGAAGTCCTCGTCGATTTGCTTGCTCTCGTCCTCCGACTTCAGCTTGGCGTCATAAATGCTTGCAAGACGCTGCATCTTTTTCGTCTTAGGCAGCGGATCCCACGTGATGCGGAACTCGCACTTGACGCCTACAGCACATCACACATTCGATCAGCTCGATCTAGTAAGTTGTCGAGCTGCTGAACATGTACTCACCACCATTGACCGACGACGCAATCGCCGGCAATTCAACGGTAACATATCCCACACGACGACGTGACATGTTGAGACGCAGGAGGTTGCCGAAGAGAGGCTTGCGGCCGTTGGCACACGTCGTCAGCAAGTCCTTCCCCCTTACGATGGACGCCACTGACGGAGCTGCGAACTTAAAAGCCGACTGGGCAGCGATCGTCTCGCCGACGTCACTGATCTCCACCACCTGGAAGACTGCGACGCAAATATCGGCGTTGAGGTCCACGAACTCCTTGGAAAGCGTCAGATCCTTGGAGCATGGCACGGGGATTAAACACGTGGCAAGAAGCGTGAATTGATTGTCATCGAACTTCTTGCCGTCAGCTTTGTAGAGCGAGACCAGCACTCCTGGACGCTGTTTTTGGCTCTTGAAGGCCTCCATGGTATCGGATGTCATGCCGATCTTGAAATCCTTCATGGTGGCACCAGCCTGCGCCTTCTTTACCTGCTTCTTCTCCTTCTTTGCTTTGGCCTCCTTTTGCTGCCAAGCCGGATCCAAACGATAACTCAGCGTCCTTGGCAAGAATAACGGACTTTGGAGGTGCTTGACCTCCAGCAGCTTATACAGAGCGGTAAGTCCGTGATACGTCTCCGCAAACTCATCCTCCATGTGCTCCTGGCGGACTTTGGTGCGACGCTCCTTATTGAGCGGCAGCTTACGCTCATGGCTCTCGTCACGTTTGCGCTTGCTGCTCCCTGCGTCCGCCATCCTCTGATGCGCGCGAAAGCTAAGAAATGCGGGCAGCCAACCCCGACCACCTATGCAACAACATGCTATGAATTTTAAGGAGCTTTTGGATATTCTAAAACAAAGGATTATGTACTATCACCGGTCATCTGATTCTGATAACATCAGCTAGAATCTTTTTCTTCAGTCGAAAATGACGGTTTCCAGTAGCAGCGAGGCGACGATTAACGCTGCGCCGATGGCCTCAGTGCTCGCAGACGCGAGTGCAGATGCGTCCATACTACGCAACTTTGCTGTGATTCTGTGCAGCGAATGTCAGTATCTTGAATTCCCGGGATGCGACCTGCACGGCGCGTTATACACACAGCAGCTGACGGACCCGGACGGGAAGCTACACGCCAAGTGTCCGAGCTGCACGGCGGCCACCAATAACGCGCGGCCATTTCGCGATGGCTGTCGCCGCTGCAAATCGCCTACTATTGTCTCCATGTGGTCCTGTTCGTTGCAGGAGATTCAGCAGGCCATAGACGCCTTCCCTGTTTCAGCAGAAGAGATCGAACACACTGTCATTAACTGCGAGCGCTGCCTCAGTGTCATCTTCCCAAGAGCTAGAGAAGTGTTGACCACGCGTTCAGCACTGGAACTGCTGGCAGCGGCTAGCGGCAAACCACTGAAAGTGGCTAACTTCCAACTGAGCATGCCACATGTGGACGGGTGTCTACGAAAAGGGATGCCGTTGCAGGCGGTGGCCGTGCAATTACCAAAGAGCGAGCTGAAGTTTGTGGTGGACAGGATCTCCAGGTGTCCGCTAGCTCCGAAAATGACTGGCAAACCGCAATATCGACCTCGAAAAGTGGAGCTGGTCACCCAGCAGAATCATTTACAACAGGTGACGACATCAACTCGTGATAAATGTGGACTTGTGAGGACTAAAGCACTGTATTATATGCTGCTGTAGGTTGCAATTCGACTGCTATCGACAGTAATCGATGCTTTTGATGCAGATTCGCCTGTTGTGGCTCAACCACTTCGACAGGTTTGCAGTAACGGCTACAGCGTCTTGCGAATGATTTTCTGACAAGTGAAATACTGCAATTAGGTTGTAGCGGTGCTTGGGAAGATGGAACCCCTCGCTCTATTCTCTGAATGGTCTCCACCTCGCCAGCTTTCAGCGGAGAAAGTGTTTCCGAAGGAAGTGACTGCAAGCTCGGTTTTCGACGAGCAGCATGCCGCCTCTAAGTACGTTGTTGGTGTTTTAATTATATGTACGGATTTATCCGCATTAAAACGTGATATTTGTTTTGATAAAACCTCACAGAATCTTTGAAAGCGATTCAAGTTTTTGGAGATCAGCTAGCAAAACAGATTACCAGTCAGCACAATCGAACGAGTGGATTGTGTGTCAGTTTGGCTCTGCGGTCTCGCTTTCGTGCGTTGAGCTAAAGTGGAGAGCAGACTTTGTTCCGGAGAGCTTTTCACTTAGCATTTCGACAGACGGAATGTCGTATGAAACTGTGGCAATTGTTACGGATCGCATCACAGACAATCGGATACTTGTACCGAAGGTTTGTTACACGAATGACATATTTCTTTGCTGATGGAGTGGTTATTCAATGCTAATGTCATTGTTTTTCGATTGACAGGGAACACTGTTAGCCTCTATTAAAATTACCATGTTTTCTTCAGGTGTGGTTGGTACGTTTCGATAGCATGTGTCATTACTGTAAGGTCATAGCTTTATGACGTGCTGGTTGTTGTCCAGGTGAAACGTTTGGTCTCGAGGCAATTGTATGCCAAGAAGCAGCGTTTAGCTCTGTGCACACGTCACCTGACGTGATGCTGCGTAGTATTCAGCAATGGCTCTTTGATGCTGCTGTTTCTTCGTTGCCTGAAATCCGGGATCTCGCGCTTCAAGCTCTGCAAAAGCTGCTGCTTGCATCAGGTTCCCTTTGTGGGCTTCTCCAGCTGGCAACGTGCCTCGTGCTCAATACACACGTCACAGCCACAACAGCTACTGCTGATTTCGATAGACAAGATTATGATCGCCTGGACCTGCTTTCCGAGGACGGAAAGAAATCTGCGCGCGTATTTATGAAAGAGCTGGCGACGTCAATTCAGCGTATTATGATCGGCAACCACTCGCATGGTCGTGTTCTAGATCAGCAGCTCATAGAACAAGTGTTTTTGATGCATGAAGAGGGGGATTCTTCACCAAACAAGGTGAGGAGAGTTAAACTATCACCTTTTCAACTGTTAATATGCTAAGGTACTCTTTTACGATGTAGGAGGCTACCAATGCTGGCTTATCAGCTTCTCTGGTGACGCTTCTGGTCGGGCGACACCAGTTCTTAAACTCTGTGGAGCGCAGATCACAGGTACGCTGACCATTCTTATTGTCAGTAAGCTCACTAACGAAACTCTGCAGCTGGGGATGATTATTCTTCACATGTTGAGTGAACTGTCGGCGTGGCAAATGAAACGAATGCAGAAGGCTGAAGAGTTGACCGGGAAAAAAGAGCTCGAGCTCATGCAGTTGGAAGAACCTTTCTCGATAGAGATTTGTCCCGACTTTTTCGCTATATCTCACCGTCTACTTGTCAGCATACTGTCGCGTTGGCTGTCCAGTGTCCAGGATCAAGCTAAGAGTGAAGGAAAAGGAAGCGATGCTGTGTCCAATGGGGATCACGGTACTGAAGACGTGTATGATGCGTTGGCTTCGTCGTGTGTGCGTTTTTGCTCCGATGCTGATCTGCTAGGGAGCCAGAGTGGTGTCGATTCATCCCTGGAACTACCCAACGGTGCAAGCTCGGGTCATTCGAAGTTCTCTCCTGATGGTCTATGCGTTGCTGTGCTCGAAATCATAACCTCAAACCTTCGTCGTTTGGTTCTCTCGAGGATTGACCCATTTGAGATTGGAATTACGCCAGCTCTGGTCCGAAGTGAGAGCGATTTACTGTTCGCGCCACCTGCGTTGAACCCCACCGTGACTTCACTTGAACAACTCATCTCACTCGGTACCAAGCGGAGTGACGCATTCTTTCCCGTATCCTTGAAAGCTGCTGCTGCAATGGAAGTTGGAACCGAAGCCTTTTATCCCTCATCACACCAGCGAACGAAAGTATTGGCGTCTCGCATGGGAAAGGGCGCGACATTAGAAGCACAAGTGCGTTGGCCTGTTCAAGAGCGTGACCAAGAAGATCCACGCTACGAGCGACTCATTTTAATGCTCCAGATGGAGTGCATTAAACTGGGCATTCGACACGCGATTCGAGGCAGCTGGTATTTCTTCATGCACTTGGTAGTGGAAGTGCCTTCAACTCGAGACACGGAGGAGGTGTTGACACAGCACTTTGCGTCGTGCATTCAGCGTGCGGGCTTCTCGTCGTGGCAAGTAGCTGCAGGCGCTCAAGAGCTCTCAATCAATCTGCAGCGCCATCTCCATTGGAACCGCGTGGAGAAGATGTCCCAGGACTCGGGAGCTGGCTGGATTCGCGTGTACCCTGCTGACGTTGCTGCGTACGATGAAGTGCTTACCGATGTCGAGGGATTTCTTGCAGAGCACGGGAAGTATAAGACGACAATGGCACGTCCCTAGTGTCTCCTGCATATATGAAACCAAGGTTGAATACAATAGACTACGATGAATACGTTAAAAAAATGTTGCTGTTCATTGAATTCCTCGAGCTACGAGCGTAACAACTGCCTTATCTGTAGCTGAGTAGGCGAATAGCGACGTGGCAACTTTACCTACCACCTTGGGGATAAATGTCACCATCACCGGAATAAACTTCCGAGGCTCAATGGTTGTCGTGGAGTACGCACACGAGAAGGGTTCCTGCAGATCTTGCAAGAAGACCGTCATGGGTTCGTTCGAGCCATTGCAAACATACACAGGTGCTTCGTGTGACTCGCCAACAGGGCAGTTTCCAAACTCGACAGCTCTGGCGTGGAAGTACAAGCCTCTCCGCTTTCCGCGCTTGGTGTAGTAAAAGGAATCTGTCTGTGCAGAGAGCTGGTGTCGAGATCGAGCGATCGCATCAAACGGTGGTAACATCCGGCTTACTCGTCGATCAACCACAACACTCACCTCTCGCATATAAATCTCGCCAACTCGAATTTTCAGCGAGCCAAACCAGTTCTCAGCTCTAGGCAACAGGTTTGAGCTGCTTTTATCATTACCACGCTGCATAAGTCCAGCCTTATCAACGGGTTGGGATATCGGCATCACCGATACAATGACTTCAGATGCCGGTTGAATCATCCCTGTAGCTGGACGCACCTGTAGATTCTCTGTAGTACGAACTTTGAATGGCAATATCTGGGCTGTGTTGTTTGACAACCGCAGCTTGGCCTTCGTGGTAATCCTTTCGGCGCTTTTACTGCGAACACGATCAAACCGAATAAACGTGGGGCGAATTTCCACTTGGTCGACAGATGTGCTAGCTTGGAGCTCGTCGACACGTCCACTGGCAGTATCAATTCCGTCACCTTTCTTTGTGTTTCCAGATGCCTCCAATTCCAACTGCCGCTTCACACTTGCTTCGATGACGACCTCGTATGGGTGGAACAGCGACTCCACACCCACTCCTCTAAACTGGAAAATCCCTGCTACTGCCCCCGCATAACGTGCATTGAAGGTGACGTGGAACGCACTCGAGGCCTTGGGTCCTATCTCCAACACCGCTGGCGAGACGCTAAACTGCTGACAGCCAGTGCTAAGTGGAAGAAGGGAGACGCAAATTCTTCCAACCGCGTTGGTTCCATTCGTGAAAATGATTTGCTCTGTCATGATGTCGCCAACGGAGCAGAGAAACCTTCGACACCGGCGTGGCACCTACCAGCACAAGCATTACACCAAAGTCATATTATTGTACAAAGCATAGTAGGAGGCGGGTACTCGTACCATAGCGGTCTCCATTGTCACGTGAAGCTTGTTTCGATCGAGCTACAAAAAAGAAAAGCAAAAAGTTTAGATTACGTACATGTACAAAGCAGATAGCACAGCGTACCACATCGATGGGCCTCTCGGACGTATACGGATATTTCGGAGCTGCATTTGTTCTCAAATCGATACCAGCAATAGCACGATGCTGACCAATCAAACGCTTTTTCTGCGACATATTACGCGAGCGCTGGGCATTCTCCCCGTAGCGAAAGCGTACGCCGTTCGGATCAATGTCATCCGACTCCAAACCAAGTTCGTCTCGAGCTGTCTCGTCATTGTCTGGCACTCTGCTGTAGCGATCTCTTTCGTAGTCTTCATTTCCCACAGAAGCGTCATCAATATCATCTCCGCGCTCTTCTTCACTCTCAAAACTATCGGCCTTTGAGCGATACATTTCATCGCGGAACGGGTTCTGGGTAGCAGCCACTTTAGCCAGCGATTGATCAAAAGTAGCGGACGTAGATCTGGATTTCAGACCTTCCGACCTCTTTGAATCCACGCCGCTGAACTGCTTACTCGGTAAATGATTTTCTTTCGGAATACACTTCGGTACATTTCGTTTTTGAACTGCGTCATTTGCAGAGCCATTTGCAGAGCCAAGCTGATGCTTTATTTGCGGACGGGGCGGTATTCCAAATCGCGTGCAAGATTCAGCAGACTGCGGGCTTCTAGACACAGAATCGGTGTTGGATGGACACGAAATTTCACGAATAGTGTCCAGCTCTGGCGTCTCTTGCGATCTACTTCTCCTCACACCGTTCACAGGACCAGTACCACCTGAAAGCCGTTCCAGCTCTCGACTCTGACGACAAACATCATCGTCAAGTTGAGTAACCGAGATATCTTCTCCCCAACTATCGGTAGTTCGCGACAGTGGCAGCATTGATTCCAGTGGACGCTCATAATTACGAACAAACTCGCGCACATCCTCGGGCAGCTCGACACCCAATGGCTCTTTTGCAGGGGGAGATGATGCTAGTCGGATCGAATTGTCAATGAGAGCATCGATCTCACGCAAGGATTCTTCTATAACTCCAGGCCCTCTTTGCAATGTCGCCACATACTCAGGTGACGGATCCTCTAGAATTTCTTGATCAGGAAGTGACGGGAGCCTTCTCGTCACATTTTCTGCTTCACCAGCATAATCAGCAAAGCTTTGATTCGGTTCATGGTGAATGTGTCGTCCGCCAGCGCTTCTAAGGTGACTTTTCTCCTAAGAAAAAGAAAAAATGCGTTAACCTCAATAATAAGCGCAAATGTTACAACTAGCATCATGCCACCAACCTGTAGGTACTTCAACGAGTTGGGCGTGTACATGAGTTTCGCATTGTCAAAATGTACGTCGTAGCCTGACGAAAAAGATGAGTTCGATCCAGAGAGCTCCAAGTCGCGATCAAAACGATCGTGAAGCGCCACACCCTGAGAAGGATCAGTTGGTGACAGCTGCTGCTTTGGGGTGTGCATTCCAGACCCTTCGTCTTCAGCTTTGGCAGCTTCAAACTACACAGCAAGAGCACCTTAGAATACACGAAGCCAGCTTGTTACCCTCGTTCGATATGTACATACCAAAGGATCATCGACATTTCTGGGCGACGAGAGCTCCACATGGTCGAGGTTACGTGACTTACTCTCGAAGAAGTCGCTGGGCCTGCCGCTGGAGTAATGGGACTCCGCCAGAGCTCCAACATCTTCAGAAAAGCTGTCATCCCCACCCAACTCGTTCTTCCTTAAAAAAGAAGCTGGTCCAGCCATTTATAAACCACACAAAAATCTCGTTAGGCTGTGGTTTTACCACCTATAAACAATATCAACCCACCAGCGTCCACGAACTCCTCGTCCGCCGGCATGATCTGCTGCTCATGTGTCGGTAGCACGAAGTCTGGGGGTGGGAACGCGTCCACAGCTGGCAAATCGAAGCTATTGTTAGCCTCATGCTCGTATTGATGGCTCTGATCTATCGGTTGGGCGTCGTAGCGTTCCTGTTGTACGTTCTCGCGTTCGATGGCCGAGATGAAGCTGAGCTCCTCGCCCACGTCACTGCTGCGGCGTGGCTGCTCTTTCTGGCGCCGGAGACGACTCTGAGCCTTCTGTTCCTCCCAACGCTCTAGATACGACGCCATCTGCGTACGCACCGGCGCCTCCATTGCCGGCTTCGACGTCAGTTGCCTTTCGCGCGGTTCGAGTTTTTGAATAAAACGTTCGAGTTGATGTGATTTAAACATTTTGTTATGTCTCGCCCTGTCGCGTGTTTTTTCAGCTTGCATTTGCGATCATACAAAATTTAAGTTTGAAAATGTGATGGCACAAGTCACAGATTCCTGTGGTGGATGGCAGCCGGCGACCACAAGTGAACGAGCGATCAGGAAGACGCGACGTTCATGGCGTCCGAATCAGTGTCTGCTGCGCCAGTCAGGGCAATGCCAGCGCCAGTGAATGTCAAGCTGTCGGAGCCTATTACTGCAGCAGCAGTGACGCAGCCGCCTGCCGCTGCCACCAGCGTGCGCGTGCCCAGCAGCTCCTTCACCTACCGGCATTTCATGGGCGGCGCTGTCGGTGGAATGACGGCCGCACTCATTACGTCGCCATTGGAGGTCGTTAAGACACGATTGCAGATCCGCGGCGGAAGGTGCGTCCCGTATTGATTGAATTGAGGAGTGCTTGAGCTAACAGAACACTGGTTTGATATGGTGCAGTGGATCCTTCGGCACCCAGACGACGTTTGGCGTCATGCGCTCAATTGGAAGAACTGGTGAGTAGCTAGCGTCACTAATACAATAGTAGCGTAGTTTCTGATTAATATTTTGGTGTTGCAGAGTCGATTTATGGCTTGTGGAGAGGCATCACGCCCACTTTGGTCGGCGTCATCCCGGCGCGTGCTATCTACTTCGGCTCGTACTCAACATTCAAGGAGAGGTTTGCTAACAACGGCCTGAATGGACGTTTGTACAACTTTTTGTCTGCTGCCGGAGCTGGATCTCTCTCGGCAACTTTGTGCTGCCCTATTTGGGTCGTCAAGACGCGCCTCCAGCTCATGCCAGCACATGCATTGACTGGTTCAACGACCCGCCGAAACGTCTTGTCAGTGGGATTTGCTGAAGTTGAAACATCAGTTGCATCAAAGGCAAGACCGCAGTTTTCAAGTGTCCGTCAGGTGGCTCTGGATATGTACTGGAAAGAAGGCCCACGGGCATTTTTCCGCGGCTTGTCGGCCTCGTATTGGGGCATCTCAGAGAGTGCGATTCAGTTCGCTTTGTACGAAGAGTGCAAGGACCACATTGAAGAGCCTTCGAACCTCAAATACTTTCTGACGGCTGGGGCTTGCAAGCTGCTCGCATCGATGTGCACATATCCCCATGAGGTGCGTATCGTTGCCTGATATCTACTTGCTTGTGTACATTTACTTACCGTAACAATAATTCTGCTTGAATAGGTCGTACGAACACGAATGCGAGATCAGCGCGCACCATTGGATTCGAAGGAACTCAAGTACGTGTACACTGTAGAAGACTGCGCTGGCCAGTTACATTCTCTCGGTCTATGCTAACGTGCCTGTTGTGATCTGTATCGCAGATATAAATCAATGATCCAGTCGATCATCAAGATATACAAGGAGGAGGGACGACGTGGACTGTACTCGGGCATGCCTGCGCATTTAATGCGTGTGGTACCTAACGCAGCAATTTTGTTCATGGTGGTTGAAGTGGTCGCCAACACAAAGTAAGTCGCTTTCTCCACCTTTAGATTCCGTCCCGCCCTCCTTGAAATGTCAATTATTTGCACTGGATAGAAGACCGGGTGGCGGGGCTTTGTAGTTAAAAACCATTAGGCAAAAGTACATGTAAACTTCAAAGTCGCTACTGTGTCAAAAACTTACTTCTATAAGACAACTTCAACATCTGCGTTAAATTGCACAATTTTATCCAATCAGATTGCACCAAGATATTCCACTGGTCCGTAGGCACCGATCAAGGTCTGTCTGTACCTCTCCATTCCTGCACCAGTCCTTAACAAGTGCATTAGATAACTATGGCGTCGCTGGAGGCCCAGATTAAGAAGCAAGTGGAGTTCTACTTCTCCGACAGTAACTTCCGTCGCGACCGCTTCTTGCGTGAGGAGACCAAGAAGCACGAGGGCGGCTATGTGCCGTTCAGTGTGCTCTTCACCTTCAAGAAGCTGGCGGCGCTCACTGTGGATGGTGCTGTGCTGCAGGCTGCCATCGCCGACTCTGACGTCGTGGAGCTCAATGAGGCTAAGAACGCGCTGCGCCGCAAGAACCCGTTGCCCGAGACGGACGACGGCCCCGATCGCACCATCGTGCTCGCTGGACTGGGCAAGGCTCTGCCCACGATCGACGAGATTAAAGAAGGCCTGAAGTCGCTGAACGTGGAGCTTCTCTTCATTGACCGCAAGAGCTACCGTCGCAACTTCTCCGGTGTGGTCCACGTGGAACTTAAGGACAAGGATGCCGTGCAGCGCGCTGTGGACTCGGCGGCCTCGCTGAGCATCAATGGCTACGTTCCTAACGTCATCTCCAAGGTAGACTACCTGAAGCTGTCCGATGACGACCAGGTTGAGTTTGACAAGGCTACCAACGCTATGCTCGTGGCCAAGGACGTGCCAAACAAGCCCGTGACTTTCTTCCTGGACGAGTTGTTGCCTATCTGGAAGGACGACGCCAAGCTGCGCGCCCGTGTACGTTACTTCGAGGGCCCCAAGGAGCTCTATCTGCTGTTCTCGCAAGTGGCATTCGCTGAGAAGGTGTTGAAGGCTCTCTCAGAAGATTTACCGGTTGTTGTGGACGAGACGAAGCTGACATTTGAGCTGGTCACCGACAAGGAAGCCATCAAGGCTCGTCCTCGTCGCCCCCACAACGACAAGGACGACAAGAACGCGAACAAGAAGCGTAAGCGCGACGACGAGAAGGTCATTCACATCTCCAACATTGGTCCTCGCACACGCATGGACGACATTAAGCAGCTCCTTGCTACTGTCATTGACCCGACAACGCAGTCGCCGTACGTCGAATACGATGGCCTGGACACAGCTTCATTCAGAATTAGCGTTGCTGAGGCCACGTCAGTGTTTGAGAAGCTGTCGGCGCTTTCGGGACCGGAACTTGGCGGCAAGAAGGTGTCGTTCCACTTACTGGATGTGGATGAGGAGCTGAAGGTCGACGTCCAGTACGACGAAGGTCTGATTGTGCGTTTCAACGAGGTTGACGGCGAGGTGTCGCGCGATGACATTAAGAACACGATCAACGAGAAGCTTGGCGACAAGTCTGCCGATGGTGCTGGTGTTGCCTTCATCCAGTACCAGATTAACGACAAGGATGGGTACCTTCGTGTCACTAACGCTGATCTCGCGAAGGAGGTTGTTGAAATGTTCGCGGACGGTGGACTGGAAGTGAATGGCGTGAAGATCCCTAAGGCTGCTGTTATTGAGGGTGAAGAGGAGAAGAAGTTCTGGGAAGACGCTCGTTCGGCTCGCTACAAGCGCTTCAAGCAGTCCCGGTCGAACCGTAACCAACACCGTGGAGGACGCGGTGGCCGAGGTGGCCGAGGTGGCCGTGGAGGACGTGGTGGCCGTGGTCGTCGCCACTAGATAGATACAGCGAACCGCGCGCACGCACACAGCGCAGCTGTATGTATGCAGCTCGATAAGTGCAGTGCGACGTCAGCTACTTACGTTCACTTTTGCATGCCTTTGGCATGATTTTGAGTGACAAGCTCCGGAGGAGAGGATTCCTAGAGACGCAAAAGAATAAATATATTGTGGGACCTGCTTTCATCTTTAAAACCTCGGAAGAATGGTTACGTTTCTTCACGTGTCACGTGCCAGATACGACGATGCATCGTTCATTTTAACGTTGCCGTCAACTCCAGAGCTCAACTGGTGGATCAAAGCCTGAAGTTTCGCTTGCTTCCCAACCTCATTAGCCTGCTCAGAAGGACGAAATGTTAAAGTCTGGAACATGCAACTGAAGGCTCACAGCAATAGCTTACCAGGTGACGGATCTCTTCTTCGCACTTGCGCAAATGCTCGTCCTTCGACTCAGCCACAAGTCGCTGCTCGGCTGCTTGGATCTCAAGCATGGCCATATCACTTTCGAGCTTACGATGGGCTTTCCTGAGATCATCGAGATCACGACTAGCAGCTCGACGTTTCTCCCGCTCGTCTTCTAGCGCATTCTTGCTAACAGCAGCAGCGTCATCGAGGCGTGCCATCTACATGTACAGTCGACGTTGAAAATGTTTGTAAGCCCTTTGCAGTCGTCGTGAACGAGAACTTTCATCGCACCTTTCGCTCCAGCTGCTCCGCAAGCTCTTTCTTCTCTTGTAGTCGTGATTGAATTGAGATATTCATCGACTCGAGGCTTGCCACCTCGTCTCGAATCGCGTCCACTTCGCCCTCAATGCTCTTCTTCTCGTCAGCAAGAGCTTTATGAGCCTTTGATAGCAGCACTAGCTCTTTGTACGTGTTCTCGTTTGTCAGCTTCTGTTCATTTAGTTCATCTTCCAGTCGCTGAAGAGCAATACACAGCGTACAGTCAAGTTAATGAGCCACATATCCAACGCATCGCATGTAACGTACTCTCGTCTCGTCGTGAGCCAACTCCAGCTGTTCTCGCTGAGCTGTGTAGTCTCCTGAGATGGTTGCCATCTCCTCACGGAGCTCCTCTAATTCCTTTTCACGCAGCGTCATCTCTTCCATCGCAACCGAATGAGTCTGGGCAATTTCCTCGATTCGGATCTCCAGTACTTGGACCTTCCGTTTGAGTTCACTATTTTCATCTTCCAGCATTCCACGCTTTGCACGACTCTCTTGAAGAAGCGCTTCACGTTGCTGAAGAGAACTAATCTGCTTGTTCATGTGCTGTCCCATGCTTTCGCATTGCATCGTGACCTCGCGAAGTTTCGATTCATATGCGTCACGCATTTTCTGAGTCGTGTCTTCTTTCTGACGAATTTGTTCAGCAAACTTGACTCCAATGTCTTTGAGGGCCTGATTTTGCTGAGCCTTGAGGTCATCTTGAAGATGCAACATTTGTTGCATCTCAGTCTGAAGCTTATCTACTGTCTTGGCACTCACTTCAGCATTCGCTTGGAGCGACGCAATAGTCGACTGCAAGTTGTCACTTGCGTCTCCAAGTCGCTGGCTGAAACCAACGATCCCCTCGGCCAAGCCCAAATCATGAAATCGTTTATTCCCAGATATCTGAAGCTGTTGGGTCAGCAGCATCAGAGCCTCCACCACAATATCTTTGTCGGTCCGATTGAACAATGCAGCGCCAAGCACCGCCGATACTTCAGAAGTCTGGAGGAATTGGACTAACGCGCGCTTGTTCTTATCGGCCATGCTTTCGTCGGATATCAGACTCGAGAGAACGCTCTACCAACATCGTAAAAAAAACATTAGTCAAAAGGTTCAGAATAATACACAACAGCTCGGCATCCTTACCACCAGGTGTATGGACAGTTGAGGGTGAAAGCGAATCAAATCCTGAGGTTCGACAGCGCCGATGAGAGCAGACTCAACTTGAATTAGTGTTGCGCTCTGTCGGTTATTCATTAAGAAGCGTCAGTAAGAAATGTTACACCATACTGCGATGTATCTTTCTAGCGTACCTGGTTCAGACTGATGCTTTCAACGCACAGCGAGCGTATTGTTGGTAGTTCACTCATTTTGGCCAGAAGATGACATACCTCCACGCTGTGGAGATATTCGTCAGAGTTACTTAGTACCTCATTGTCTTCGGCGCTTTGCACGACTGTGGTGGTGTCAGTGATGCATCGTATCATCCCAGTGACGACAGGGTTTAATCGTTCTGCATTCTCTGAAGACTCAAACAAACTCCGAATAGAGCGGACGTCGTCCCCGATGATCTTTAAAATCAATTGGGCAGTCGTGGTAGCCGCCAGCTTGGACGGATGTAGTGTCGCTTGCAGCACACGGTACAGCACGTCTTGATCGGATAAGCTTTTGACCAACATCTTCCGGAATACGTGGCTGAGTTGGACGATGGAGGCGAGGAAATGAGCAGCAACCAGAATCTGCTCGGCTTCCCCGTTTAAATTGATCGTCATCAAGCAGTTGTCGATCGTAGGTGCGATCTTCGGATACTTTTCTAGCAGCTCTAAAATTTCTTGACTGTCGGCAAGATCACACAGTAAGTCCACACTCACCATCTGCAGCAGGGAACGTCGATCCAGAATCGTGGTCGTATCCGACATGCTCTCGTCCGCGTTATCGTGCCAGGATCCGTCCAACACAGAAAAGACCAATACAAACGCCTGGTCCACGTTCTTTTCACTAAAAAGTTTGCTTCCCATTGACTCCGTAAGCACAAGACGTGCGAGGATCGCCATGCTAAACACCAATAGCTCAGCGTCCTCCGTGCTGTTAAGTAAGATTGTCAACGAGCGGTAGAAATCCTTGATCTTCTTCATCTCCTTGGCGTAAATCCTAACACCAGCACTTATCTTAATCATCTCAGCCAACACGAGAAGTTGCAGCTTCAGTCCTGTGTCCACTTCGCAACCATTCCGCAATGCTGAGACTGAGACGCTCTCGACGAGCCATTGCAACAGCTTACACAGCGCATGTGATGGATACCCAATTGCCGTTTTCCTTGCAAACAAGTAGCAGAGCTCTAGCAGTTGCAGCGAGTCCTCTGGAGTCTGCTGTGTCTGAGTCGGCTGCGAGTACTCTGTGGATGCCTCGTCCTGTACGCCTACTGCCTTATTCGACGCCACAACAGCGAGAAGATGCTCTGCCAACGTATCGAGTAGCTGCAAACTCAGCGCAGTGTGGTTTGCAGCGAAAAATTCGTTGTGTGCTGAGAGTTTCCGCGCTGCTCGATACAGATCGGAAGCTGTACGACCACTTGGGGACGCAAGATAACTGTCCACGGCGACCACCAGAGCGGATTTGCCCGGCTTCTTACCACGCTTTTCGATAGTCGCTCGACGGCTGTAGATTCCCGACACGGAGGAGGAGAAGGAGGTGAACGTTGCGCCGTCAGAATCGTTCATGGCGTTGGCACAGTTGCTGTGTTACTTGAAAAGTTCGCACAAATATCATTCTATCAAGACAAATGTTTGATAATCACTTACTTAAGTAATTCAGATATTGCTATTGTTTAAATTCGTTAATCAAGAGCACAACCCATTTGCAGCCCAAGTTGTAATTTTAAATGCTGTGCTCCTATTGGCCTGATACCCCCAGTATCGACAACAAATAAAATTGGGGTACAATTTGAACGGTAAGATTCAGAATTAATTAGTGTAAAATACGGGAGCAACCAGCCGGACCAATAAAAAAATCATGAAATTAGTACTGTACATAATAGTTCGGACTAGTTCAGTGTAAAAGTCAATCAATTTTCACCATTTTGTGGAACCAATCTCAATTTGCATCCCCTTGCAGACGTGACAAACACGTCAAATTGTGACCACCTGTTTAATTTCACCTTACCAACTGGTAAAACGCGTAACTAACACTTGGCTATCCAAAATCTACAGATATTTGGCCGTAATGCCTCCAACTTCATTAGCAAGAATTAGCGATAGGTTTGGAAATACAAGGTAGAATGGTGAGTTAGATTGTTTTAATTTTACAGTTATCTGTGTTGTGCACAACACGGACGAAACGGGAGACATAGCCTACAAGACTACCATGCACTGGAAAAGCTTCCAAATAGCAAGGTGCTACATCTCGGAGACGAAGACAACTTTCCGATGTAGCTACTATCGCGGTCGCCGTGGTGGGCCTGGCTGCCTCGCCAAGCTGGATGTGATGCGGCAAGGTCGGGTCAAGGAAAAACGATTTCCTCCTCGACGAAAGTCAGAGTCGCAAACATACTAGCCAGTCTCATGGCCACGAGGTTCAGGCCAGTGAGATCATTGAGATTTCGGAGAAGTCATCTGAGAGACAAGGAGAGTCGGCTGCACCACCGGAACCTCAAGATATAAGTCAGGAAAGGGCTGAGGAGACCAACATTTTGGCCATCCCACAGATTTCCGCGCCCCCCTCGCAGATTTGGAATCTCATTCGAGAAGAGTTCACTGGTGGCACAATCATGCGAGGGTTGACCCGGGAGCAGGCCATCAGCCGCGTCTACCAAGCCCGTAATCGGCACTTTGGAGGGTCGATATATATTGAGGGTGAGGCGAGGAAGGAGGAGGAGCTTGAGTAGAAGGGAGAAAAAGAGATGTGATTGAATTTTATGAGTCTGTCTTCAAAGAGTTTTCTGGGCACCATTGATTTATCTTTCCTGTAAAAGGTGATGCAATTGACTTATGCAGGATTGGGTACAGAACATATTAAGTATGGTAAGACATTTTGTACAATAACTTGTACGCTATGTCACCAATTAGGACAGCCTCTCTGTGGCCCAAGTTGGGGGCAGTTCGTATCCCAGATGGTGCAGCTGAAGACGTTGAGGACTTTGACTAAAATTACTACTTCGAGGATAATCGACTGTTTCTTGCGGTAGTGAGTTGCTAGAAGAATGTCTATACCTTTATGAAGGTCGCAAAGTTCTTTACCGTCGTGCAGTTCTAGTATCAGTGAGATAAGCTTGCTTTCTCTTCCGTATTGTTCTCGTTGAGTGCATTAAGTGTTCATTTCCTGATCTTTCAATGTGTGCACAGGTGCAGTTTTCTTCTGATTTGCATGCAAGTATTGAAGGTGTTGATCAAGTGCAATCTTCAAGGGAACGAGACTTAGTGCGATGCGCGCCTGACGCTATAGTCTGGGCTAGCTCTGAGTGAACTTGTTTCACTCGGTAGCGAATCGTCTCCACTGGTCTCAAAAACCTTGGGTTTTGTCATATTGATTTACTGCAATCAATATTTTGCTGCTATGGTTTATGTGATTTGCACAGAACTAATATATTATCTTTTGTATACACAGATGCCTGTCAGTCTTCGCGCATCAATTTTGTGCCAACATCAAGAGATGCTGTCGGACCGGTACTCAATGTGCGGTTTCTTATTGATCAGCAACGTTCTTCAGACTAGGAATTTCATCACCCCAGCCATGTTGCGGTCTATTTTGGCTCGGTTGGTAGAGGTGAACCCAAGTGTGGATCATGGACATACACGCTACGGTGCCTACACTATGAATTTGCTGCCTACACTACGAATTTGTTGCAGAAGGGTCTGCAGAAGCGGCAGAAACAGCTGATTTACCTGAACACAAGGTCGGGGTTCAAGAGCAGACCCAAGCGACCTGCCTCCACCGTGCGGAGTCGAAAATCGGCTCTGCTGATTATAGGTAGGCGGCCTGGGCAACGAGCAGGTACATGGCATTGTATCGCTCGTGCCTGGGTTGGTAACAAGTTTGTGTTCATCGATTCCGACACCTATCACTTCTTCCCTAACCGGGAGGAGCTTTTGACAAGTTTCTTTGAGACAGTAGATGGTGTGTACTCAATTGAGGACATTCCTCGTGCTAATCTTTAAAATTTAAATAATACGTATTTACTTTTAACAAAACGTGTTGTTGTATAAATTTTATATATCGATTTTTTTTCTTTTTCTTATTTCTGTATGAGTGTCTTACATAGTGACCCTCTTAAATTAAAAAAAGGTGTTTTAATAGTGCTTTTGTAAAAATGTCTGCTACAATTTCTTTGGTGTTGCAGTATTTAATTTCAAATTCTTTTCGCTCTACTTTTTCTTGTACAAAGTGATACCGAATTTACTTCTGCCATGTAGTTCTGGGTTGTAGGAAAGTTTAATACAACTTTGATTGTCCTCAAATAGAGCAATAGCATGTAAGCTTTCGTGTTTAAGCTCTACTAAAAGAAGCTTTAAGAAAATAAGCAGCGACATAGGGCTATGTTTCTGGTAGTTTCTGGGATTCTAGGAACGTCTTTGGTTCAGATATGTGTCTGATAGCCAAAAGAGCGTAGATATGAGTGAGGTGCTCTTTTCGTTCGTTAATGTCGAGTGGATCATCAAGTAGACACGAGTGTTCATCCTCGTTCTGAGCGTTCGTTTTGTGTTTGACTTTCTTCATCTTTACCACTACTGCCGCGGCAAGCGCATGGACGCTGCGTTTTAGTAGTGAGGCTATTGGAGGGAGGAATTGTGGTGTTGGTAGCGACGGTGATAGCGTCGGTGCGGGGCTATTTTGGTCCGAGATTGCTGCTGTATTGAGGAATTCCAAGTGTGGGGACTCGTCTTCTCTAAGCACAACATCCCTGCTGTAGATAACACGGTTTTCTTTCGTGTCAAGGAGTCTGTATCCCTTTTTGTTTGATGGGAGCCCTAAGTATATGCACTTCTTAGCACGTGGTTCTAGTTTTGTGCGGTGTATCTCAGGGATGTGAGCGTACGCAGTACACCTAAACACTTTGATGTAGTGCGCGGATGGTTTCGCTTGAACCATTTCTCGTATGGGGTGACCTTATCGGTTACCGAGCTGGGAGTAATGTTCAGAAGGTCAGCAACGTGTTTGACGCATTCTCCCCAAAGAACCTGCGGTAGGTTACCATCAATGAGGAAAGCCCTGGCTCGTTCGAGTAGTGTACGCATGCGCCTCTCTGAAACTCCATTTTGCTGGGGCGCGTACGCATTTGTAAATTGTGCGTGCGTATTGTACTTCTGAAAAATCATTTTTCCAAGTTTCTCATATTCTCGGGCATTGTCGCTTTGAAGATGTCTAATTTCTTCATCGGGTATGTTCTCATTGAACTGGAGTTCGCCTACATCAGCGCGAAAAACATTTTGTGCTTTCTTGCGAAAACCTTCATAGCATTCGTACAGCTCAGACTTTCGCTTGATGGTGTAGATGAACATGTACCGTGAGTAGTCATCTATGAAGGTCAGAAAATATTGACACCCCGAGAGTGTGGGGACGAATGGACCAGCCATATCGGAATGAACCTTTTCAAGAGAGAGCTTTGCCCGTTCAACGGTACGTTTATTAAATGGGTTACGATGGGCCTTGACGTATGTGCAGGAAGAGCAAAAGTAGTCTTTCTTGGAATCAAAGTCTCCAGGCCCATGTCCATGACAGTGTTGCCTTTAGCCAGATCCTGCATAATGCGAAAGTTAGGATGACCCATTCGTTTATGCCAAAGTAAAACATTATCAGGCTTACCTGAAGTGGCCACATGGGCTACCTGACTTGAGGTTGCCGGGCTCGCTTGAAACTGGTAGAGCCGAGTCCCTTCACCAATTTTGGCTTCAAATTTGGTTCGGCTAGCGAAGAACAGAGCGCACTTCTTGGCGTAAGTTGATTTTGAAATCATCTTCGACGGCTTGGCGCACGGAGAGTAGGTTGAGCTTCAGCTGGGGCGCATATAGCACGTTGGTCAAGGATATTTCTTGTTTCTTTCCCTTCGTGTCCTTGATTGTCATCTTGACATCACCAGTTCCTTTTATCGGAATCTGGTGATTGCCGCCGACAGTGATTGACTTGCCAGCACTTGGGATCAGCTTCTCAAACCACTTCGGATTGGACGTAACGTGGCGAGTGCAGCCCGAGTCGACAGTCCACACTGGGTCATGCTTCGCATCTTGGGCGGTGAGACTTACAGCCTCTGTTTCTCGTCTGAGGTCCAGAGTGGTGATGGCTATGATTCCATACTCGTTGTCGGAGTCGGTGTCCTTGCGGCGACCGTGGAATTTATTGTGACTCTTGGATTTTCCAGATGTATTCTTCTGGTTGCCGTTCTGGCTTCTGTTTCGATTGCTGTTCCGCTTGCTCTTGTAGTCATTCCGATTATGGTTTCGTGACTTGCCGCCGAAACCGTCCTTGTAAGGATGCTGTCGAGCTTGATTAGACGAAGGTTTCAGCTTAAAGTTGGCGGGAAGCACCGTTCCTGCCATTACCTGACCATTTTGTAGGTGGCGCTGTAGAACATAGCAGTCGACAGTATCGTGATTGGTGCGTAGGCAGTATGTACAGCTCATCGTTGAGATGAGAGCCTTGCTCTCTTGATAGGGAGCTTGAACCAAGATTTGTTCAGGTGCTAAAGCCTGTAGGGCCTGCTCGTTTCGGGTTTCCCTCGATTCGGGTG